TAACATCAGGTGAACCGCCTGCTCGCTTGGCAACTTGTCACATAAAATAAAAGAAACGATCAAAACCAAACATCGCAATAGTTCCTCAATTCTGAGTATCCAACTAAAGTCTTCAACTATATCTGATATACAAACATTATTTTAGAACACCTACCTTACTGTTGACGACAGTACGAACATAATGGCTCGCTATATTTTGTTTACTTCACGTAGGTAATTTTTTCATTGTGAATTGTCTTTATTGAATAACTAGCTGCTGCCCGCGACTACGTCTGCGTAGAATAGGCTGAAAGTGTAACATTAAGACAGAAAGACAGATATACATAAAATATGTATATAAATTATAGCCTATGTCTTATTCTGATGTATAAGCTTTATTATTGTAAACTTTCATTAAAATCCATTCATTACCATTTGCTTGAAAGAGTAACAAACATTCATCCATACTTACAAACTTTCGCGTTTATAATATTAGTTAGGATATGTCGATTCAACCTATTTAACACGCATCTCTATCTGGGCATCTTCTTTACTTCCTCCAACAGTTTTACTGTCTTAATTCTTTCAGAGATTTAGGATGTAGAGAGATTTAGGTTGTGGAGGATGTAGTTCAGAGTCTAAAATTTTTGAACATCATTTGAGCAAATTACATCTGAGTAAAATATTTACAAGACCGAACTTTATTTAGTAACCGATCTCCTTTTGAGTCACGCTTTGGACTATGCCCTTTCAAGACAACACCGGTGTTTACTGTTTTTATTTGAGCGTGCAAAAGAGTTACGCATTATTCGTTTAACAGTTTTGTTTACGTTTTCATATTCTAGAAAGATGCAATAATAGAGGCACTCATAATGAATACTTCTTAATAAAAAGTATCATGACAATAAACACTCTTACATTCAAGTTATGTAAACGAATATGTCAGTAGATTACGTCGATCAGATAAATAGCTTTGGATTTCTTTCAAAATTTTTTGATCACTCTCAACTTTACTTGTGGCAATTTTAATTTACAAATTGCCATTATTGAGCAAAGTATTATTTTGTTGGCTAAACCCAAAAGGCTATCTTTAAAAGAAAGTTTATTTCTCCGTCTCATTAATAGGAGCCTTAAACCGCGAGTTATTGAAAGCTGTTGAATTATGTTACCTTCTGAATCCGTATTCTCGTTCTCTTAAAACCCATCGGAATTCGTATCGACGATGTAAAACAGAACAAATGCAATCACTCATCCGAGATTAAAGAGTGCAGCGATTTGTGTACACAACGTCCGAAATGGTCGTACATCAGTCGAACATTAAACAGATGCTCTGCGCCGGGCTGTACCAACAAACACCGTTCCGTGATCGTGAATAGCCGACGATGGAAGCGTCAAACGGGAGCATGGGAGCGGCATTTCGCGCGGTATGCGGTTGAGCTAGGCGGAAAAATTCGCGCGGCGGACCACCGGCCATCGAGGTGGGTGTCGATCGACCTTCCCGCTTCTGTTGGATTAACGAACCCGTTATTTTTAAACGCCGCTCCAACAGCTGGCCCCGCCCGCGGAGTTCTATCGTGATGCTCGGACGCTTTCGGCGCGACAGAGAGTTATTGGACCCTCGGAAACGGATGCAGGTATAACCGAAGCACCTTTCCCTCCTTAATAACCTGAATATGCTGATAAATCTCTTATTTATACTGACTTATCTCTCACTCGATATGCGTAGCGATAGCCTAATGTTGGCAGATGGTACAGTTTAGCATTTCCCAGGTGCTCGCTTTTAAATCTCGAAATATGCTCAAGGAACCTGAGTTCAAATCCGTTAATTGCAATTTTAAGCGCTTACTGACGCTTGTTAAGTTGCGAAGGAAAACATCGTAAAGAAACTTGCATATTCGGAATAATATTAAAAAAAATGTATTCGAAAATATCTGAAATCTGGGAATCAATCCGTGGTCGCGTGGTGAACTATACCTTAATGCCCTTCGTACAGAGAGGGCCTTTGCTCAGCAGTGGGACAAAATTATTTTTTTTACTTTAACTTTTACAGTTTTCTTTGAACGTGTCGTAAACGGTTGATTTAATAAGGAAAACAATGGAATAAGAAGAATATTTTGGAGACAAACAATACTTTATACTCTCGCTTTTCAGACAAGATGCTTAATCAGCGGTGAAATATTTAATCTACCTTTTAACTATTTTTTATATATTCGGTAAAACAAAAATTTATCTTCTAAAAATACTCACAATTAGCACTGTCGTGGAAGTAAAAGACAATGAGCAAGTAACGCACTGTATCATATTTAATGATGAATAAAGACTTTATTATGGACTATCATTCATTATTTTAACAATTAACTAGAATTGAGCTACAAACTTTTTGATTAAAACGCTGAAATAACTGGAATTGGCGGAATTTTAGTCTCTGTTCGCAACTAAGTCCTCTCAGTCAATATACCCCGAAGGTTATATTAAACATACATCGAAATTAAATTATGGAATTAAATTTTATTGCCTGTCCGACTGAATACAGTATGGGAGTCTTCAAGGCTTCAAAAGTGAACAGGTTTATATCATTTACATTTGTAGAAAAAGTAAGATAAGATTGCCGTCGTAAAAGGTTTATATCAGCTACAGACTCTGGTAAAAAACGGTTAAGCACTGATTGAATATATAACGTTTAGATATAATATAGATCACAGTTGCCGACTTAAGTTTAGGTTATAAAGGGTCAGAAATTTATGTTTCTCTAAAATTTCTACATTGAGAACATTAATAAAAATTATATACATATTAAGTTTCGGTATCGGAGATTATAATATACCGGATAATTCACTCCTTACAGTTTTTAGGACTTCGTTATTAACCGGGTTTATTTTAACTAGTAGGCAAAACAATTGGTAGTTTATTGAAAAAAATTTAAACGAAATTAATACATTCCGTTTAATTTTTTTATTTAATTTCTTTTCTTGTATGTCCAGTGTCAGTTGCACTCTGCATTGGATTAAAAATCCGTTGGTTTATAAACCAGCATGAATAATTTTCTAAATACAATTTCTAATAGGGCCACGCAAAAGCCTGCTCTGTTGCACGAATGGTCAGGTCCGTCCGGGTAAGTACCAGGAACAAGTACTTGTGCGTTTTGACTTGTGAGTGAGTTAGCCCGGGTCTCTTGTTTAAAAGGTGGCAACGCCTCTGCAACCCTACGGGTATTGCAAAATTTAATGGGCGGCGGTTATCACCTAACATCAGGTGAACCGCCAGCACGTTTGCCACCTTCTCTCATTAAAAAATAACTGCTATTTCGCCGATGCGTTATTATCAGACAACTTATTCACATAACAAAAACAGTTGTATGTAGTTTAAAAATTAATTTTTATGCCGCAATAAAAATGTTTAACTAAACACACTAACAGTTTTTTCTTCTTTCCAGATATATCTGTCTGCGGGGGGTCTACGCAGTTTTTTTATTAAGTTTTCGCACACGCTGTCAAATTTGCTGCGACAAAAAATTCTACATATGCTATTTTTTTATTTGTTTTTTTTTTTGGAACATATAGTGTATTATAATTTTCAACATATATAATTCTAAACTTAACTTTTAACAACTAGATTTTTATTTCATAAAAAATTATTTATATATATTTTTTAATGCAACTACAACTTCCATGTCGTATTGTCAAACTATTGAACATATGAACAAATACTTTCTCATTCAACAGAACGTGTAAAAATCTGAGGCGTTTTTATAAATAAAATATGGTGATAGACATGAATTAGCAGTTGTCACTGAACTATTTCCTGAATGTGCGATTTTGAAACATTCTTTGGTGTAAATTTAGTGCACACAACACGTGTTCAACGGTATTTTTGTGTGTGTCAACTTTTTTTATCGGCCAATGCAACGGGTGGGATGATGTTAAAAAAATTGGCAACTTATCGCGTGACGGTAAAATATCAAAATGCCGCGTGCGTTCTTTGGCGTTAGTTGATTTTTTAAAAATTTGTTTTGGAATTTCTTCAATCATTTTACATGCCATTTTTATTGTTTTACTCATTTATTTTTCTTACTTTTATTCATTTTATGAATAAACATTCCATATTTACCTGTTTGTTTAACACAATTGATTGTATGAAAGTCGATGACTGTTTGGGGGAGTATAGTTTTCGAAGTGGCGGCTGCGAATTACTATATTCCAGTGAGTGAACATTAAGTGAATGCTTTATCAATTTCCGTTACTTAACCAGGTCAGTTTGGAATGAAGGAAAGTTTATTGTTCAAGGTTTAGCGGCTATTAAAAAGTTGTAATGAGTGGAGAAACTTTTGTAGGTTATGTTCCGCGTGTATTTATATATGTTTAAACAATGATATTGTATACAAATATGAGATACGAATTCTCAAATTACGTCAATTGGTGTAGTTATATTGCTATTCTATAGACTGCTATGTCTAACAGTATCATACTCTCACATTCACTTATATATGTCATATAATGTAAAGCGGAACACATTTTAAACGACGCGTAGTATGGACATGCGTCATCATTATTAAAATATTGCGTCTGGCAACTTTTACGCTCGACAGATAATATCTTTATTACTTTTGTTTAAGTCTGTACGGAGTATTGTATTGTGGTATGAATATACACATGCTCAAATCGCTATCAGGTCAATTCGTAAGTGTCGTTTAGCCCGCTGACGCTTCCGCTCTCGCCTGTATTCAGGTCACGGCCAGAAATTGCGCGCGTCTATACGTACTTCCCGATAGAAACGGTACGCGAGAGAAATGTACGTGAACTTGAAACGTTTTTATACACTTACATTCATTCTTTGAAGCACGTGCGGTTGAGCTGTGTTGACGTTCCATTTTGCATCATTTCCCTTTCTGTTTATGCAAACGCATATAGAATTAGGTACTTTTTCTCAATGACAAATCGAACCTGGCTCTGACTTTTAAGTTTATGTGTGATATATCTGTTTATTTTTTTGCAACGCACACAAACTCTTATGGTAACACTGGAATGTTCCCAGACACGCGGCGCCACAGTCACTTCAAAGGATTGAAGGTAATCAACTTCAGGTTCACCAGTAAGGTCCTCCAAAACGAGATCGACGAGGCCTTCCTCAACATCCACGTGCAGGAGCTGGAGCAGAGGTTGAATGTGACCCTGGGCCCCGAGGAGTACTTCTCCATAGGCCTCCAGATCAACAGGGTCACGAGGAACAGTCAGGGTAGCAAAGCGTCGGTGCCATACACGGAGAGCTCCGTGAAGATGTCCAGGAAGGAGCTGAAGATCGGAAAATGGGTCAAGGTGAACGTGACCAACATGGTGGCGGAATTCTTCAGGCTGCCGAGGGAGAATCTAGCAATAGTTGTGAGAGTACAAGACTCGAAGAATAGAATGAGCTTGGTTGTGCCGCATCCTAGCTCTGAATCAAACAATGCATTGGTGAGTACGATAATAAATAACTATGATATAAACAACATTTCTATTGCATTGTGGAAATGACAGGTCGTCGTTGTACAACTTTTTTTAAGCCGAACAGGAGATAAAGTCAACACAAAACCACTCAACCAGTCAACATGTAATTTTAGGTAGAAACTATAACATCTCACTGCCTGCAGCCGAATTCGTATGTAGGTAATGAAGAGGTTATATTTTAAAAGAAGAGATCACATCTTAAAAGAACTTTAAAAGGGTTAATACAAGAGATATTTTGTTTCTTGATATTTAAAATAATTTCTAGCATTATTTTTAGAATTCAATCAATCAATCAAATCAATCAAAATCTTTATTCAAATAGACGCTTGCGCGTTCTTATGAATCGTTAAATTTTACATAAAACATTATACATAGAGGTTCGTAAGGTACCACCATAATTAGCATATGTCCGCGACTCCATTCTCTTTAATCTAGTTTATAATTAAATGTTATGAATGTTCTAATACACATGCACGAATTTATTCATATTTGCTTAAGTAATGGAAATCTAAGTTTATTTTAAGCTATATAATTATAATTTAAAGTCTTTGAGCTACTTTGGAGCATTTTCGAGATAAAGTTTCAGGCAGAGAATAATTCTAAAAACGGTCATTTGTGATAAGAAATCGTTTACATAACAGTTTTGGGTTTTAAAAATTTTCCATTTGTTTTAAAGCAGACACCAGCAGATATTTAATTTATAATTGCTAAAGATCAACAATAATTTCAGTGTATTAATGTTGAATTAATTGTTCCTTTTCTATTGTCTTTTGTCTGTCCGTTATTTGTGTTCTTGAAAACCCGAGTATTGCAATTATTATTTCAAGACGCAAGTAAAGTTCTCCTCTAATTACTGTCAGAGAAAAAGCCACAATAGTCGTACTATGCAAGACGGAGCGAAATAAGAAATACAATATTGCACAACAGACTTCCTTGATCGACTTATCTCGCTCCGCTTGACGATACGTGTATATTAAAACATTATCGCGAATCATATAAATTTTTATAACAACGATTTAACATATGATCCATTGACCTACTTAATTAGTTTCGGAATTTTTTTTCTCTGAAGCGATTACGACATTGTTATATATAAAGCTCACATGGTGTTTTAGGGGCTGTTACGAGGTTATAATTTTAGCGTTAAAGGCGTTATTATTGATTTTTTGGAGATTTCATTAATGTCGTTATGATTCCATTTAGCGTGTGTCGACCAAACGCGATGCGTCAGCGCGCAATACTCATAATTATAAAGAGTATCGCTCGCAGTGCTGGCTGTTTCGGTAGCGATGACTTGATTAAAAATCTAATATGACTAACCTAATACGTCATTACTTTTTTAATAGGATGCTGTGTCACACGCGAATTAATAAGTTATTATATGGCTTTACCTTGTGTCCTGAGGATTCAAATTTTAATATCAGATGAAACGCAGAAGTATGACACCCCCACTTCATGCCGGTCTCCTGTGAGGTCGTAGTGCTTCCCCGGACGGACCTGCTCATTCGTGCAACAGCGAACTGATGCGTGGCCCTGCCACAAGTAAATTATTCAAAAGGCCCCACCTCCATATGTTGTCAAAATATTATCTAAACTTAAATAATGATTTCAAAGGTGCGTACAGCTGTACGACCTATAAAACCCGTTAAGACGCATACATTATCTATAACGAATACATACAACTATATTATATAAAAAAATTTTAGACTTTATGCTTTCTTGTATTTAAGCTTTTAAAATGAAATGTTTTCCTCTTATTGAAGTTTTGAGTTTATTATTTATAAGAACAATACACTCCAGATAAATTTGGATATGTTAAATTTGGACTTGACATCCGATAAACTCTCCCGCAAACCGCCAAATTCAGATAGAGACTGACTTCGTTAAAAAAAGTATTCAGCCACTTTTTCGCCAGTTCAATAAAGAACGCTACCGTCATCAAAACGTTTTTACCTATTTATCTATGTTTCATCACCTCTTTTAAAGTGTGATTTAAAAATAGCCTAAGTATTTTGGCCGAAACACAAACAGCGGCGGTATATTTGATTCACCGTGTTCCTTCGCAGATGCCATACATAGAAGTAAGCCTTAGAGACAATTCGCACAAGCGCACGCGGCGCACCATCGGCATGGACTGCACGGAGAACTCGAAGGAGGTACGCTGCTGCCGCTACCCTCTAGCCGTCAACTTCGAGGAGTTCGGCTGGGACTGGATCATAGCGCCGAAGCAGTACGACGCCAACTACTGCAGCGGCGAGTGCCCCTACAGCTTCCTGCAGAAGTACCCCCACACGCACATCGTCCACTTGGCGGCGCCTCAGGGCAGCGGCGGCCCGTGCTGCGCCCCCAGACGGATGAGCAGCATCTCCATGCTGTACTTCGACCACGACCTGAACATCATCTACGGCACCATTCCGGGTATGGTCGTGGAGAGCTGCGGTTGCTCATAGCGACCGTCCCGTTGCCGCTCCAAGTGGTAGCGTTCCGTCGATAGCATATTGGTTTCTATCGATTCATGTTGTTTTTTGTCACGTAGAAATCAGCCTGATTTCTACGTTGCCCTTTCCGATACTAAATCGTAACGTAATTCTATTCGAGGAGCCCTCAAGTTATAATTTGAATATTGTATTGCCTAATATTTTAGTACGCTGCTAACCACTTGGAGCTACGAGTTGTGCCTTGCTAATGTAACATATTCAGTTGAAGACTGGGAACCCTTTGTGATGTGTGCCGTGAGTGTATATTTTATAAGTTACATCTAGTTTTAAATGAACGCTCTCCTTCTATTCTGTAGATTTGAGTATCGAATGTCGGTTGCGATCATTTCGATCAATCGATTAGTCGTGGTTTTAAACTTACAGAATACATAGCCTACTGACAAGAACATTATTCATCCGGTTTACGTAAGTAGGGTACTTATAATACAATATCCATGCCTTATATTAAGACTCGTATGATTGTATTTATGTATATGGCATATATGTGTAACACATATATAAATACGATGTGCACCACATATGATTCCCATTATGTAATTATTTTAAAGATCAGAGGTCAGAGTAATAATCTCCGTCTCATTTTCAGTAGACTTATAAGGATTGTAAGTATGTTACTACCGTAGTAAATGCCTTCAAAAAGTCTGAAAAAATATTTAATATTAAATTGTTTAAAATGCAAAAATATAGTAGTTGTCACATTTTATTTATATTTAGCTATTTTATTTGGTATAATTTTAAATTATTATTGAAAATAACTTTAAAAGGTTTAAAAATAAATTCTTTATATCCTTAACCACGCCCGAAATACTGTCATACGGACCTTCTTACGAAGTAGATATAGCTATTTAAAATCAATAAAGTGGACTTTAATAGGTGTTTGACCTCTGACTCCATTGTGCTCTGATAAAAATGAAATTAAACTTGGCTTGATAATGCATTATCAACCTTTTTATGCAACAACAACAATTGTAACTCGCTTCTGGAACGATGTAACTAAAATGAGTGTCGTATCTCAAAATGGCATTTATACTTTGAAAAATAAGTCTTAACTTCTAGGCTTTTAATTATTTTCTATCTTTAATAAGTAAATGATATTGCTTTTTCATAGGCACAAATAATAATCATTTATTTTAATTACCGTAAGCTTTTGATATAAGAAAATATTTATAAAATATCGTTGTATTTTTAGCAAAATGATAAACGCTTCAGTGTTGAGTAAATTCACAACTTCGGTTTTTTTGGCAATTATTCCCAAAAAAAGCAGAATAGTATGAAATGATAAAATAATTCTATTTCAGCAATTTTTACCTCTTTCCTATTTCTTAAACATTAAAATGTTGCTTTTTTAAACTTCATTGCCTATTGCATTGTATAAAAACATGTAATCATCAATTTTAATCATATGACCATTGTAATACGAGTACTATTTGACAAATTGCCAGAGAAAGACAATGATGGATATTAATTAATGCCTCGTTCGTCCCGAGTTCATGGCATAACGTACAATCCAATGTCAATGACATTATTTGTATTGAAATAATGAAACGTGTTTGTGAAACGAATCCGTGCGTTAAAGTTATAACTTATTATTGTCCATTTTTTAAATGAAAAAATAAATAATTTTGGCGCAATTTGTCTAATTGTATTATAACACTTCTAGAATTTAAATGCGCACGAGGAGTAAACGATCACATTTTATTTGTGCCTACGAAACAGATGCCACTTAGTTTTGGTTCATATTTAAGGAAACCTATAGTTTTATTCGTCCTGGCAATTTACGCAGGACAATCATATGCGTCGTCAATAAACATTAAGTAGGTTAGTCTATGTAATTCGATGTATTTCTTTTAACAATGTACTTTTGAGATTTCTTTCAGCCATTATGTGGATCTCATTCAAAATTATGCTTCATATTGTGATCGTTCACAACGATTTCTTCTCTTTTTAATTCTTCTGGCAGGTGGTGCTTAACATAGGTCTTTTAATTTTAAAAACGCAAGTATAATCGAATCAGTACCTACCCATTGTAATGTTATGTTAGGAATAAAAATTACGTATTATTTTAAAGTGATTGAAATTGTTTTTTTTTTTGTAATGTTGTGTATTTTAAGGTATAGAGAAATTTTCGTCGGTTAGGGAATTTTCAAAAAAAAATTAGATCTCATTTTTGGGCAACTGTTTGTACGTGTGCCTTTTCAAAGATCTCCCCCATGCTTTTGGATATCGATTTTTTTTTTTAAAGTTTTATACAAAATTTTTTTAGCGTTAAGTGAATTGGTTCTCTAAATTATAGTTCTCGGTGATGTTTATCAAAATTTTAAACTAACAATCACGTGTCATTAAGATCTATGAAATAAATTTTCAAATTCATAATGCGTGTCTTTTTTTATTGTAGTTTGTACTTAAAATATTGGAGGTTGTGTGCCGATGGATATAAGAATGCAAACGACAGAGTTCCTAGAAGCATCTCATCTGTTACACCTGCATAGCTTGTTCATCATTATTATTTAATAGCTGCTGCCCGCGACTACGTCTGCGTAGAATAATAGGGTGAAGGTGTAACATTCAGACAGAAAGACAGATATACATAAAATATGTGTGTAAATTATAGCCTATGTCTTATTCAGATGTATTAGATTTATTATTGTAAAGTTTCATTAAAATCCATTCAGTAGTATTTGCTTGAAAGAGTAACAACAAACATCCATCCATACATACAAACTTTCGCGTTTATAATATTATAGTATCATCACTATCATTACATATTTGACCATATTGGCGTTGTGGATAGTGGCCCTGTCTCATGCGCCAAAGGTGTGGGTTCGATGCCCACAACTGGAAAAATATTGTGTGATGAGCAATGTTTTTCTAGTGTCTGGTTGTTTATAAATCTATAATAAGTACGTATTTATTTACAAAAGAAAAGCACGCTTAAGTATGTTTATCAAATACTTAGTATCCATAGTACAAGCTTTGCTTAGTTTGGGACTGGATAACGTATTGTAAGAATATTTCCCAAAATATTATTATTATCATCCTTGAATTTACCCTAAAATCTAATAAAATGACATGCATGTGTGACTATCGAAGGGCCATGAGTTTATTAAAAGAAATAACATTTTTTTTACATTAGCAGACGGTTTGTTTATGTTATAAAAGGTCTCTCTTCTCTTCTTCCTTTATTCCAGGAACATTAGCTTTCTTAATTCTGTCTTCAAAATGAGGGACCTTAAGTTGGTGGTCCTTAGTACAAAATTGATATACATACCTTGACGCACAATTTATAAAAAGTTATCTAAATCTATATGATTCTCAAACCTATTTTTACATGACTATATGAAAAGCTAATTCCGTGTAGTCCCGTTTGGGAATCGAACCCAAGCCCCACGGCACCGAAGTGTAGCCGAGTTGCTGTTTGAAATGAAAACAACTGTAATTGCAAAACAAAAAAGAAAATCCAATTCAATTTGCGGCAGTCCTCACAGAACGGCCACTCTTTATTTATATAAACTTTAAATTATTTACACATTTTGTTTTTTCCTACTTTACATTAATATACTCGTCAACGTTCTTTTAAAAATACAATCAAAACAAAAAAAATATGTAACATAAATACACGTGACGCAATGTACAAATTACATATATTTAAACAGTGGGAGAGAAGGTTAGACTAGTATACAAATTACAAAAAATAAACCGTCCCACGATATCATTTTTTCCCGCCAATTATTTTCTCCATAAAGAAAGTATTGCATAAATTTTGGCCTCGATTTAACGAAATTACACTTCATAAATTTATTATTACCATCGAATAATAAACGGCCAATAATTTATTAAATACTTCAGTCTAATATATTGCTTAGTCGATCCAAAATATACATGAGAACAAATGCATAGTAATTATTGTACTTGTATCAATTCTAATAAACAATTCCTTAAATATGTTTTATTGTAAGGTATAAAATTAACATTTCATTTCATGGCATTAAAAATTAAATCTACTTTATGTAGAAATAATGTTTTTGTCTTTTTTTTTTAATTTTGTTTTTAAGTAAAACGTTAATTTTTAAACACTAAGTTCTAAAGTACAGGAAAGTGCACAACATCAAGTGGTGTCAGTCTATAATAGGTTGGATGGATTTCTTTGAGACGCTTCCAAGAAACAAAAAAAAAAAACATAAAATAATAATAAAAACGAAGGGTAGCTGCGAAACAGTCGAGGTGGCCATAAACCTAGAAAACGCTACAAATGTCCAGGTAAGGTACATTTTATGGCAGTGTAGATACAACAGCGGTATCAACAAAACTCTAGTCTAAAGCATATAAATGAAACATCACAGATCATTAAAAACTACGATAACAGAGAGAATGCAGTACACCGTTAGAATGCCATGATACGCTGAAACGAAAGGTTCCGTCAGTAGAAATAGTAAGGTCACACTGGAAGTACATTTACTAGTACTAAACGCTAATTATATACAAAAATTGCTATTACAACTCCCGCCGTAAAGTAACGTGGTCGCAACACTGAAACTTGAGCCGTTATCTCTTCAAATAGGATCACAGTGGAAAAAGTGATTTAAATTTAAGAATTTACAAATCTAACCGTCTATAAATATAGTATGTTTTTTTTAAAGTCCACATTATGGCAAGTTTCTACATAGAATGGCTATCACTTAAACGTGTCACTAGACAATCTTCTACGTCCATAGAAAATCCGATATCTGTACAGAGTCCGTGGGCCGTACAGCGCGGGTGTGGCGGTTCACTGGATTTCACTACGGGGGGGGGGGGGGCTTAGAAACTGGGCTGCGAGACAGTCCTAGGGTTGCCACTCTGCGGCTGGTACACGTCGTAGGAGTTGTGCGGCTCAAGGTGGCAGACGACGTTGTTCTCGCCGTTCAGGACCGCCGCTAGCGCGCGCATGTTCTCCTGCGGCTGGTGGTAGGGGTGCGCCAGCCTGCCCTCGTACGCGTGCCGCTCCGGGTAGGCCCTGTCCAGGGTGTCCCATTTCCCGTACTTGGTCAGCTCCTCGTGGTGCCGCTCGGCCGGGCTGTACGATATCAGGGGCCGGTGGTCGCCGAAGAACTTGGAGCCCGTCGAGCCGTGCTGCCCTTGGAACTGGCGGCATTCGGGGCCGGAGTTGTCGTCCGACACGTCGGACATGAGCGTCTCGTTGCGCTCGATCTCCTCGTACACCGGGTCGTCCTGTATCACCCTGAACTCCTGGTCGGAGCCGCGCCGGTACATCCTGCCCTGCTGCGACGCGATCTCCGAGTATGTGTGGTTCGCGTTCTGGCCGTGGTGGTGGTGCTTCCGCCGTTCGTCCTTGTAGTGCTTCCGGTATATCATCTCCTGGCTGCCGGGCGAGTGCTGCATGTACACGTGCGGGTTCCTGAAGTCCTGGTTGTAGCTCCTCGTGGTCTGGTAGCCCTGGTGGTGGAGGGGGCTGTCTTCGTCCTTCGCGTGGCGGGGCGAGCCCGGCGCGAGGGGGGCCTCGCACTCGTACGGGCTGTGGATGTGGTTCTGCAGCTGTCTGGCCAACGTGTCGTGGTGGGGGAGGGTGGACGCGTTCCCCGCGTGGTGCTTAGAAGAAGTGTTCTGCGGACGCGGAGTTTGCTGATTTAGTTTTGCGGCCAATAGGATGAATAATACGATGGGGTCGACTACGGGATACTTATTTCGTTAGAATGAAAAGACGTAACAATAGTTACTATGATGTGTTAACAATTTAATAAACGTTTGAATGCATGTTACGCATGATACAACTCCATTCATTTGTCGTAAATTGTAAGAATGTAAATTAATATTATCGAGCATACAATACAGATGATAATAGATGAATACTAATAAGTAAAAAAAAGACAATACATTAAATGGTTTTAATAAAAATAATAATGTAGCATCAACATTTTCCTGTTAAGGTAATGATGAAAGCTGTTTTAATTAATGTTTTATTAAAAATCGCTACTTGCTGTTGAGGTTTAATTAATGAAGCTTACTTCAAACTCTATGACCTGTTTCAGATAAAGTAATAATTTACTCAGTTTCGCGAAAGCAAATCAGTAAAGAAATACGAAAATCTGGAAGGCAATTTCGTTTAACAGATGTATTTTATTGGGTCGATTCAGACGTTTTCGAGAAATCGATTAATTAAATGGCTTTTCCGATTTCAGTTCTCAAAACAAATCACTGAAAAAAGAGGCAGCTAAGGACATATGAAAAATTGTTCGGTGTCTTCTAGAATTGGCATACGTTACATTTACTTTACGATTGTATTATACAAAACAACTGAATTGTCAATCTAGGAACAAGCAAATACACTCGAATATCCCAGTTTGAAAATTTCTCTGGAGTTACGAATAAGGTTATCTACAGATTTGTTAAAATGTCTGAAATAATATAATACAATTGCATGATTACTGGAGTACGGATTTCGACCCGCGTTCGTCAAGAATTTCTATATAAATGACACGACCGGACTTATATCCATGAGTTAACTACCCCAGCTTTGCAAGCATGATTCTAATATTTATACATGATTTTCTTTGCCCTATTAGCATGCTTGAAATAATGAAAGTTTGAATGAGTAAAGAGTTATATAAAGAAGGAGGTGGGCTGGGCTAGTATTGTATTTACAGTATAGTGTGCGATATTGGATTGAAATCATGCAAAATTACTCTATTATTAGGTATCATGCAGTTATGATTTTTAATGCAAATAACTCCAGTAAGATCTCTTGAATAAAATTAGCTACAGCCGTCACCAGTACTGGGGATACAAATATAACAATTGTTAGAAAATATTATTATCACTTATCCGGCGGGGGTAAAGCATATTCAACACAATCAAAATTAAAACTTGGAGAGGGAAATATTTTTTATAAAATAATATTAAAAGATACTTATTGCAAAGGATATGCACTACACTAAAATGCTCTTATTGCTAAAAATGCTGTTTTATAAATAAATATATAAAATACATTAAAATTGATCTCCTTCAACGTTATTACATCTCATATTAATGTTCCATTTAAGACGTACCGAGCGTTAGAATAAGAAAAGTACGAATGTTCCGTTATTAGAATAACTCGTGGGCGACTGGCAATTAAATACGCTGCCTGACGAGATCTTACCAAAGCGGATGATGTGAATTAATGTCACTCTAATAGTGCCCACACAACTCTCAAAGCCCTCCCCTCACCTTCCAAACATTGCCACCAATCGTGTTCGCCATTAGCGCCCAGTCGTTCGCGCCAATCGACGCCGCCATCTTATTGGAGAAACAAGATGGCGACCGCGACCTTAGGTTCTGATATTCGGTCGGCACATCGATATTATTCCTGTAGCTATGCATTGACGCTATGCTTTGCGTGTGCGACGAGCTATGGGGTATGTTTTGGGGCGTCGGCGCCCGAACTGATCTGGTATCGTCGCTTGGCACGTATATGGGCGCGGTTGGTCGTACATTCCATCTTGTAGCCTCCGGTTGGATGTTGTAGCTCTGTTTGTATAGTTAGAAAAGTTATATAGAAGCATACGTACATACATACTTAAATATACATATATAGTTTTTAATTACTAAGTACATAACAGACCAAGCCATCGACATCCTGAAATGTTTTTTTGAAACCGAATATAGAATGTCAACGGAGCCAACAACTGTATCTTTTAGGAGATGTCTACTTCGATAGTGAATCAAAATACGCATCACATTAAATAGAGATAGGATTTTTGTATTGCCACGTTCGATGCGAGTTAAGAATTTGTTAGAACAGAGACATGGAGTCATTGATGGGATGCAATACTGCTACGTTCTAAAACCACCACACCACTAAATGTGAATAGAAATTTTATTCATTATGTTAGTATAAGAGAAAATACAAGCGTTAGTTTTGTTACATCGTGGAAACAGAAATGATAGAAATAAAAAGAACAAAAACATAACTGACTTACCGTATATAAACAATATGTAAACAATTATAACGTCACGTAATAAAAAAACATTCAAGATCTACTGTTAGTCACACAGCGGGACAAAGAGACAATATTAAACTGTTAAAATTACAGACAAATGAATTGAGCTGTCATTGGCCAATTGGTTGCAACTTAAAAAGCTCGAGTGGTGTGCGCTTTTTGGTGGTTTTTCATTTTAGATTCTTTCTCGGCTCGAATTCGGAATAAATCCTATCTCTTTGAATGCGACACGTACCTTGCTGGGCGTTTTGCCGATACCCCGGCGGGTATCTGCCGCTGCCGGGGTTGAGGGGGCTGCGCAAATGCGTCATGGCGGCGGGCGGCTCCCGTTCGGGGATGTTGTGGGGGAAGCTCGCCCCCGTCGCGTTCAGGGTTGGACCGTAACTCGACGGGGGGGAGAAGCTCTCGGGCGAGCGCCTGTTCCTGTGTGGGTGGTAGCTGTGGGCGGCCGCCGCCGCGGCGAGGGACGCCACCGCCGCGTTGTTGATCACGTTGTTGTTGTTGTGATTGTTGTTGTTAACGACAACGTTCAGGGTGTTGATGACGAGGTTGTTCGTGGTCGACGCCGCCACCGAGGCGGTCGTCGAACTCTGCTAGAATGCAATCCGCGTGTCGGGTGACCGTTTCTAAGTGAGTCGGCGGCGTAAGCGCGCTGATCAGGTTTAAGGCTTAGATAATATTCTGATATTGTAGAAAATTGATAATAATATTCGTAATGTAGTAATAAACATATCGCGTATGTAACATCAAACCAACTGAGTTTAAAAAATAATTTAAAAATTCCATTTCTAACAATTGAAGAACAATTACAAGCCTGAAACTTGATGTGTGATATAAAAACGATAAATGGGATACATTTTTAAATAAATAAATATATGTATAAAAATTTCAAATATAAGAAGCTTTGATTTCGACTTAAATAATATTAAGGGAAGTCGAGATGGCAAACTGGAGTATACAGGAATCGATGAATGAAATAAATTAAACACGTAAAATTTCCACCACCTTAGTAATATCATGCAATGAAACAATATTTGTTGCTATGTTGTCCCAAATAATATTAACGATATGTGGCGAAACTCCGCAAAATATTCAGCAAAAGTTCATTGCACCGAGTTAAGTTGCCGTTCGGCCTCTGAAATGCCCCTTCAAATTTCCTGGTGAGTTGGAAATTTGACTTTTGAACAGTTTAGTTTCTTTCTTTATTTTATTTACTCCATTTATTTAAGTCCTAGACACGCTTTTAAATAATTTGAATGTTAACATTACTTTTTATAAGTAAAATAAGATGTGTCAAAAAAAAATAGAACTTTTTTGACACATCTTATTTTACTTACACATTCGGATCACACCAATTTGAACAAAAAGCCTCTATAAATTATCGTTTAACAATATACGCAGGGTATACGCTGATATATCATAAGTTGAGTTTACCGATTCACTCTGGTACGCCAATGCGTAACACGGTTGCCTTACCGTGACGTCACGCGGGTCGACGACGTCCTCGTCGGCGGCGGTGCTCTGGTGGTATCTGCGACTCTTCACGGACCCCTGGCGGGTGTCCACGTGGTTGGAGGAGGAGGCGGTGGCGGGCATGTTGTGGGGCAGCGGCTGCGAGGACTGCGTGGTGAAGTACAGGCAGCACGACAGCCACGGGTGGCGACGGCTCAGCCGGGCGCATTCCTTCTGGAACTGGAGATGGTCGAACCCAATGAATGCGTGCGAAGCGATTGGCGTTGGGAGTGGTGTCCGCCCCTTGCGCCACTACTCGAAACATATCGTGTGATGAACATAATGTTTTTCTAGTGTCTGTGTGTTTATATGTATAATGTGTATTTATTTACAAAAGAAAAGTATGTTTATCAATCGAACCTAATCAATTTATGCGAACCGATTGGCGTTGGGAGTGGTGTCCACCCCTTGCGCCACTACTCGAAACATATCGTGTGATGAACATTATGTTTTTCTAGTTTCTGTTGTGTTTATATGTATAATGTGTATTTATTTACAAAAGAAAAATATGTTTATCAATCGAACCTAATCAATTTATGCGAACCGATTGGCGTTGGGAGTGGTGTCCGCCCCTTGCGCCACTACTCGAAACATATCGTGTGATGAACATAATGTTTTTCTAGTTTCTGTGTGTTTATATGTATAATGTGTATTTATTTACAAAAGAAAAGTATATTTATCAATCGAACCTAATCAATTTATGCGAACCGATTGGCGTTGGGAGTTGTGTCCGCCCCTTGCGCCACTACTCGAAAAATGTTGTGTGATTAACATAGTGCTTTTCTAGTATTTATATATGTATAACATGTTCTTGTTTAGAAAAGAAAAGTATGTTTAAGTATGTATATCTGGTGCTTATAGTACAAGCGTTACTTAGTTTCGGACTAGAGAATGTAGTGTAAAAAATGTGTCGGACACCGAAAATATTTACTTATTTATTTATTCCTTTTGAACCTAAAGGAGATTTTAACAACTGAATTTCATAGAATTCCTTTTGGAACTGAAGAAAAGGAATGATGAAGATGAATCTATGACCTTGTAATGTTACGTCGTAAGGTCATCGCTTTGAGGAAGACGTGATTTTTCATAGCGTGCACGGGTGTACCGTCTCAAGGTTCTTTTAAGAAGATAAATGGTAATTACATATTTGGTGATCGCCTTAAAAACCTTCGGGTTCTTAATCAGCTCGTTGAACAGTGGATAGAACTCTATTTATTTATTTATTTATTTTAAGACTTCATGCACATATCTCTGTTCATAGGCGGACTTAATGCTGACAGCATTTTCTACCAGTCAACCTTAGGGTGGTACCGAGATTTTGAGGTAGGTGCACAAACATTTAAAATATAAATATTATACTAATTACACATAAATATATACATAATACAATACAATTAAATAAAAGTTTACATATATATAAATACTGTACTATAAATATATAATTACTGTACTATAATATTTCATTGGGGTTTCGTAATGACTTTTAAAGCAGGATATCCGTATAGTTCAGTAGACGTAAATTGTACTTGTCATAGATCTCACTTGACCGATCTGTTGGTCATGAGGTCAGTAATGAAAAGTTATCGAAAAATTTAATTTGTGTAAGATATATTTTAAGGGTTAATTAACGATTGAAATAAACGTCTTGTCGGGAAATTTAAATGGATTATAGTAACAAACTCGAGTGCCCTTACGATCTCATTCAACAGGCAATGGAACACGAAGATAAAGAGCCCCTGGAACGAGTTCAATATGGTGAACGCGTACGCCATTCCGACTGTCTGTTCGTTGAGATACAACAGCCCGAAGGTCCAGGTGAGGCCGAGGAGCACCGCCAAGACTATGGACGTGTTCAGCCAGACCCTGGAAAAATAGGCTATTGTTAAAAATAGCACGAGGAAATTTACCCCTTTCACCACATTGTAAAATATAATTGCGCGCTTTATTAAAATAAAAAAAGTAAAGTAACAGCCTATACATGTCCCACTGCTGGGCAAAGGCCTCCTCTATACAGAGGGTATCAGGGCATAGTCCACCACGCGGCCCCACTGCGGATTGGCGGACTTCACATATTTTCTAAATATATTTTTTGGTATTATTTCGAAAGTATGCAATTTCCTCACGATGTTTTCCTTCACCGCGGAGCACGTGATAAGTCAGCACTTAAAGTTAAAAACTTCATTGGTGCCGGCAACGGGAATCGAACTCAGGTCGCTCGAGTATATTGAATTAAAGGCGAGCGCCCGGACACTGAGCTATCACGACTCTTATTAAAATACAGTATGAAACAATGAAAGTAACGTAAAGTAAGAGCCTATACAGGTCCCACTGCTGGGCAATGGCGGACTTCATATATCCGCGAAATACTTTTTCTTATTATTTCGAAAATATGCAGGTTTCTTCACGATTTTTTTACCTTTTTTTTACCTTCCACGCTGAGCTCGTAATAAGTCAGCACTTTAAATTAACAATTTCAATTAATTAAAAAAATTGCGAGCTCTCGGAGAATGAGCAAACACGACGCTATAAAACAGTTAATTAAGATTTTACAATCGAATTTCTCATATGAATCAAACTTACTTTATTTTATATAGTTTCGAGTTCTCTTTCGCTTTGATGGAAACGCTGGTGTGATGGCACATCATGTAGATCACCAATCCCAAGCAGATCCAGTTTGCCTGAAATAAAAATGATACGTTTATATAACACTAGGAGCATTAAAAAAAAACTCATCATTATAATATTTCAATAATAAGTATTACGAATACTATATTTTAACACCTACTTTACATGGAAGAATACATCCTGTATCGGACAATATTTTAGATATTTCGAATACTCAAATCTTAGCCCACGAGGAACAAAAAGCAAAATCTTCAAAATGATTCCAGAAAGAGAGCAACAGACAAGAGCTGGGTGATTCGGTTGGACCGTAAGTGTGACCACAGCTAAAACTCCGGTACGGCAACTCAGTAGCTTCTTCTGTAACACGGACCTTTGGAAATCGTAACGTGAAACTGTTTGTATTTTATTGCGTATCGTCCATTAGATAACCGATTCTCGTTCGAATGGTCCTATATTGAAACGTCAGCGACGTATTTGGGGTGCTGTTGCGACGAAATCTAGTGGACGGTACCTATAAGCGATCCATATTGTGGTAGGGCCAGGCGACAGTCTTCGCTGTTGCATGGACGGGCAGGTCCGTCCGGGTGAGTACCACGACCTCACAGAAGACCGGCGTGAAGTGGAAGTGCTATACTTCTTCTGCGTTTCGTCTGCTAAGCGAGAGGATCGGGGCTCACATTATTAAAAGGCGACAACGCACTTGTAACCCTACATCGGGTGTTGCAAATGTGCCTTGGCGGCCGTTTGTCATTCAACATCTGGTAAACCGCCAGCTCGTTTATCTTCTCATATGAAAAAAGCTATTAAAAATAAATACGTTTCATCCACTTGGTAAACGATTCTCGTTCCAATCCTCCCACATTTGAACATCGGCGACGTATTTCAGGTGATGATGTGGCGACATCTGGTGGGGAAAACGTATAACCTCCGTCAAAAATAACCCACCGTCACCACCAGGGCGACCGGGCCGACGAAGCTCATGATGAACAGGTGGTCGGTGGACAGCCAGCAGCTGTTCTGGGTGCCGTAGCCGACGGGGTAGGACGCGGCCGAGGCGAGGACTATCAGCGCTGGGGCCAGGTAGGCCCCGGCGCAGTACCATTGGGCGCGCGGCCGCTCGGGCTCGAACACCTCCACCAGCATCGCGTACAAATGGAACCCTGAAAGCCCGTTTCATTGGAAGGTGGCAACGCATCTGCAACCTTCAAGTGGACGGTTGTCGCAAATGTTTATGGGCGGCGGTTATCACTTAGTATCAGGTGAACCGCCAGCTCGTTTGCCACATTATCACATTAAAAAAAGTAATGGGGACTCGATGACTCCGCGGCGCAGTAGCTAAGGTATTGTAATATAATAAAATAGTTGACATCCACAAACAACTAAGTATAAACAATTTCAAACAATTTGTAAAAGCTACCTTAATGGCAAGGGCCTACTATAACGTCCAAGAATACATTGAGGACAAGGATGTTTGTAAATGACTCTTGCTCTGAACTTGCAAGAACCCTGGCTGCTGCTGATTTTATACCTAAATAAGTGTGTATAATTGCATCAAAAAAGAAATAACAAAAAGAACAAGACTGCAGAGTTTCTTGCCGGTTCTTCTCTGTGGAGGTTTAGTTTAGTGAACCGGTGGTAGATTTTTTGTTGACGTTCAATAAGAGCTTAAGTTAGGCCTATATTGAATAAATATACTTTGACGGTGGTAGAGCCACGCAGCAGCCTCGGCTGTTGCACGAATGGGCAGGCTCGTCCGGGTAAGTACCACGACCTCACAGAAGACCGGCGTAAAGTGGAAGTATGACAAATACTTTCGCGTTTTCGTCTGGTGAGTGAGGTAGCCGGAGCCCAATTTCCAAAAAGGTTGTCAACGCATCTGCAAACCCTCGGGTGTAGCAGATGTCTATGGGCGGTGGCATTCACTTAACATCAGGTGAACCATCTGCTCGTTTGGCAACTTTTCACATAAAAAAAAAAAAAAAAACTTTGACTTGACTTTGACTTTTATTGGCTTCGGCGTGGGTTCGATTCCCACGCGAGACAACTTTTGCGACCCACAGATAATTGTTTCAGATCTAGTTGTTTGTCCACGTGAAATTTATGTATGCAAAACGTCCTTAGATCACAGGATGAACAGATCAAAATAAAATTAAACACACGAAGGGCAATAGGACAGAAACAAACCTTCCAAGAACATCCATGCGAAGGCGGCTAGGAAGAAGTAGTGCAACAGACCAGCGATAATTCCGCACAAGATCCTATCCTGGGTCTGGTCTATTCCCACCATGAATATTATCTCCGCTATTAGCAGACACCAGCACAGATGTTTGTGGATCAAAACTCGGTCCGACTGAAAAAGTTAAAAGACAGATGTTATTGTACTGTTTAACTTAAAGTGATTATTCTTATACATGTCACATGCAAAGAAATGTTGGGCTTATTACAAATAAGCGAATAAAGGCCCATTTACACGATGCCATTTTGTTGAACATACAAGAGCAATAATTGAATGCAATAAATTGCGCGCAATAATTGATTAAACAATTTCTTGTTTAGACCATGCAACTCATTTATTGCTTCAATTTAATTGTATACAACAGGCAAGAAACTGGCACCGTGTAAATGGGCCTTAAAGCCAATTATAAATAAGCTTCAACAAACTCTAAAGATTCAAAGAAAAAAATAATCTCAGGAAGTCCAAGAAAAGCTCATACAAAAAAAATACAAGCACATTATTAATTGAATAAGGGACATTTACGCGGGAATTCAAATGTAAACGGCAGGAACGAAAGGTACCATTCATTCATAAAACAACAATTCCGTTCATTACAAACACAATACTGCGTCTTTCAATCAGTCAGGCACACATCCCGATCCGCTCACTCGCTCGACTCTTTTGCCGCGCGAACGGCACCTATAAGAGTTTTCACCTTTGTTCGGAAATTCAAATGGAAGCGACAGGACCAAAATTCGAACGAATGGAAAATTCATTTCACTATTGAACCAAACAGCTTTGTTTGCACTTTTGACCTAAAGTGCATCGACGTTGTAAGCATTAAAATATACCGCGACAATCAATCAGTTCACGTTCGGTAATCAAGCAAACCATGCGTTACTTAAAATATCATACCTAATTATCATAATTATCATAAATATCATATATTATCAGTATCACTTTAACTATATCAATTTAGTAATAAAGTGTTATTAAATCATCATAACCGGTGTTAGAGTTCCCAACAGGTACCATTCATTCATAAATCCACTAGTTCCGTTCACATTCCAAACACAACACTGCGTCCATCATTCGATCATGCAATCATTCCGATCCGCTCATTCGACACATCACTGCGTCTTCTCATTCTCGCACCCATCCCGATACGCCCGCTCATCCGACCCTCTCGCCGCGCGACCGGCACATTGCGCGCTCCGCTCGCGCGCGTCTCCCCACCTTCATGTTGCGGCAGCATTGGAACACGGCCACCGCGGCGGCGAGCGCGACCGCCGACACGGCGCAGCCGACCAGAGTGATGAGCCGCAGGGCTGCCGCGTGGCCGCTCGCCAGCGGCACACCCCTGACGTCCATCAGCACCGCGAAGTTGGTCAGGTGGGAGCACGCACAGCCGGTGTGGGTGGCGTTCGACCACTCCACCTGGCAGCCTTCTGGAGACCAGCCGCTGGGGAGGAACATTCCGATGATGATTCCGTGACGCGGTTGTCTGGGTATTGTCACCAGCGCCGCGTATCGTTGGTTCAATATCCGTGGGTGCATTATTAAATTCATCAGTGTTTATTATTGGTAATTAAATTTTTTCGGATAGGTTAACCTTTTTACTGTTGATTACAAAAGACCATCTATCAAAACAGCAACGTAATAAACGAAACGGAATACTTTAGAAGACCAATGATCCGCTACGAAGACTGAAGACTTACTGTAGTGTGTAATCCCAGAAGACGCAAACCGGGTTGGTAACGTTCTCGACCTTCAAATGTTTCATCGTCAGGCGCACCATCTGTGACAGCTGAATGTGACGACCGTTCCCCAAGCTGGCCGATATCACCTGCAAGTAACGTTTACAGAATATGAAGTGAGGCTTTACGCAGCAACTCTATACGAACGGCCTTTTTTTCAACCGACTTACAAAGAGGAGGTCCTCAATTCGACTGTACTTTTATGTTTGTTACCTCAGAAATTTCTATTGAGTTAACAGATTTTGATGATTCTTTTTTTATAAGAATCCCATATTAATTTCATTGCTATTGGATCTTGGGCTCCGGAGATTCTTAATGAACTCCTGAAAATCATTTATAAAATGTATATAAAGCGAGATATTGGAAGTCCGGTTTCGTTTTTCGGTGATAATTATGTGAGAAAATGACTAGCGAGCTGGCGGTTTACTTGGTATGTTAAGTGATAACCGACCATGGACATTTGCAACACCCGTAGGGTAGCTGCGTTGCCACCTGTTAATAAGGTGGGCTCCGGCTACCTCACTCACCAGACGAAACGCGGAATTATAGCTACCACCAATTATACATACTACCACAGCTAGAGCCACGCAACAGTGTTTACCCACGTCAACAGTCCATATTAAGTGACCAAATCCACTATACATGGAGCATTGACAATGTGTAGCGGACACATTTTGATAAGCTGTTCAACACGAGGTACCTTCGAGTTGAGGACCCTGGAGACGTTGTTCTTCTCCCGCTCGGAGTTGATGCTGGTGGTGGAGGGGGCGGGGTCCGACGCGTACGCGGCGAACTGCGGGCTCTTGCCGAACGTGGGCGGGAGGATTTGCTCGAGGCGGTCGAAGGCGAAGAAGACTATTCGCACCAGGTCGTTCTGGCGGTTGTCTGCAATAATGAGTAGATGAAATTTAATAAGAGTGCAGTTTTACCAAAAAAAATAAAATAAAAATAAAGCAACAGCCTATACAAATGAAAAGAGCTGCTCTAAACAGATACATTACTTCGCGACCCCACTGCGGATTGGCGGATTTTACATATCTTCGAAACATTTTGTCCAAAATATGATCCGATAACTGTTTCTAAGCTATTGGCTTCAACGTCGGGGGTCGAGGGTTCGATTCCCACGCGGTACAAGTATTTGTGTGACTCATAGATAATTGCTTCAGATCCGATGACATCAGGCAGGCCGGTCGTAAAAAAAAATATCTAATTGCATGGCAGAAGGGAAGGGGCTTATTACTACTGTGTCTCTGAGAAAAATAGGTTTGCAAATTTAATTTATCTATTAAATACATTCTTACTAGACATAACGCGTTATTGAATTATTTTCGTTCAGAGGTCGAACACATTATGTTGAAAAACTGAAAACATGGTTTTTCTTTGTGATTCACTGGACTTGGATTAAACAATGATAATTGTGACGCATAATTAATTTTGGAATTTTTATTCTCATAATGTAAAGTAACAAGTTCGTATAAATGTCTTGGCCAAGTCATACGTGGTCCTTCGAACCGGATAACGATAGTTTATTGACTTATAATTGTTACATTAATGTTAATTATTCCTATATTATGGCTCGTTTAGCTTAGTTAATACTGTGAGCTTCAGAACTATGATTCGTGGGTTTATTTCCCGAGTGGAAAAAATATCTATATGATTCAACAAATATAAGTGCATATCTGGACATTTACAGCTGCAATAGAATATTTTGCTAAAATTATGCTTGCCTAATAAAGCAGCTTTTGGAATGGTGATAGTGTCTTCAGATGCCTTCCACTGCTCCTGGGCGATTACCGATGGAAATGTTTCGTCTTCAACGCTTTTCACTTCTAGCACCCTCACGGAGAGACCTGAAAAAAATTTAGAATATTTATCTTTTAAATAACTTATTAACTTGTATAAATAACTTTATAACTGGCAACTTTCGAGCTGAAAGGAACTAAACGTGATTTACAATGTTCTATATCACACGGCATTATATACTATAGGACAGTTGACTATATAAATCACATCATTAACTTAAGGTTTGATTTGTTGACTCCGTGGCGCAGTTGCCAAGGTATTGGCTTCGGCGTCAGGGGTCGTGGGTTCGATTCCCACACGGGACAACTATTTGTGCGACCCACAGATAGTTGTTTCACATCTGGGTGTTCGTCCGCGTGAAATTTATGTTTGTAAAACGTCCTTACAACACACGACATTAGTAGGTATATAATGTATGTTGGGCTATTTTTTTGGAAGAATAAATCTTATGGTGTTGAGATATAGGGATGTTGAGTAGACATGGAGCCATTTATGTACTTACAAATATTCTTAACGATCTGCAGTACCGTCTTCTCTTTCGTCACAGCCTCTGCTAGAAGGAAGGCGTTCTCTTCGAGTTGTGTTAGCAGAGCGCTTGCAACGCGGTTCTGGGCATCCGTGCTCAAATCCGACCAAGAAGCGCGTTGGCTCTCTTCTAGAAGATTCGAACCTGTGAAACAAGCAGAATAGTAATGGGATTGTGAAGAATATTCCATAAAATGGCATTAGTTACAATTAGTTACATTAGTTACAACAGAAACAAGCAGAATAGTAATGGGATTGTGAAGAATATTTCATAAACTGGCATTAGTTAAGCACAGGCAACCAGTAGATTTATTTTTTTGTCTGTAATAAAATAATTTTCTTCGATAAATATAAAGTAAGTTAAGTAGTTTATTTATACCTTTTACACTTTTTGTTTAGATACACATACATTTAAAAAATTTTAACGAGTTACTTCTTTAATTATTTTTCAGTAGACCTAACTCAATCGATACATTCACTCACCGGTCTTTATAACTCCCAGAAGCATGTCCGCCACGAAAGTCTCCCTCTGGCGGGGGTCTGGAAATGTCTGCATGTTCTGCGACATGCGCTGTGCCAGTTTCTTCATTATGCTCGTGGTGGTCATCATGTCACCACCGTAAAGGGTCTTCGAAGAGGTTACCTGAACACAAAGTAAAATATAAAATCAAAACTTTGATTTAAGCTTGTTAAAAACGATTACAAAGACCCAGGCTAAAAGCTTAAATAAATAGACGGTAAAGGTGTACTTGAAATTGTAGTAGATACTACGAAAAAAATATATTCAAAAAATATCCCCTTTTCAATATTCACTTGTTTGTTTCCGTGAATCGATTTATGTGTTATGATTTTTTAAAGAAGGATGCTATTAAAAGGAGACAGTGAGTGAATGAGAGGTTGAAATGTGCTAAGGCCACGCAACAGTCTTCTCTGTTGCACGAATGGGCAGGTCCGTCCGGGTAGGTACAACGACCTCACAGAAGACCCGGGTGAAGTGGAAGTGTTATTCTTCTACGTTTCGCCTCGTGAGTGAGGTAGCCGGGGCCCACTTTATTATAACGTGGCAACGCATCCGCAACCCAACGGGTGTTGCAGATGTCAATGGGAAGCTATCACGTAACACCAGGCCAACCGCTAGCTAGCTTGCAAACTGCTCACGGAAAAACTTGTTTGTACTAGAACCAAAACAATTTTTTTACAGTATTTTAACGAAATGATAAATTTATAGAAGTTCTTTACCTGTGCTAAATCGTTACTGATGCTGAGTAGAGACTCTCCCTCCCTCACGCGAGCTTCTAAACTGTTTAACCATACGGATCTGCACTCGCTCAGGTCGGGTGTCGCTCCCTGCCATTCGGGGATCGAGTCCGCTGTAATAGCATCAACGAACGACCGGTTGAATGAATGTATGAATGAATGAATGATTTTTATTAGGTAATTGAAAAAGCCTTTTGTTAGGGACTGTTTGTTGAAGAAATTATTTGAGCAATCTCTAAAACATTCTACGTCTCGATTGCCCTTATGGATAGTCATCTGTTTCTTCACCAGAGGGTGTAGTTTCGATCCCATTTTGTGTAATAAACAACAACAAATATTTCTAGATTATCACTAGCAAACACATCAACACTGTGTAGAGTTATTTTTAAATATGTTTATCTGTTACCCAGTACCGATAGTACAGGCTTTACTGAGTTAGGAACTAGTTGACGTTGTGTTAAATTGTATCCTGAAACATTTACTTAATTTACATCAAAGGCACAAAGGATGATTTAAGATCTAAGTACGCAAGTTCGATCTACTGTTTCACTTGGAGAACTGTATCTATATGTTTGAGTTTCGTTTGTTCGTTTATCTTATCCTTTAAACGAACAATTCTTGTATATATATATATATATATATATAATCGGAATCTCGGAAACGGCTCCAGTGATTTTCATGAAATTTTGTATGTGCGTAGATTCGGGGGCGAAAAATCGATCTAGCTAGGTTTCATTTTTAGAAAATGTCCTTTTATCCCTGTTTTCAGGGAATGAAAAATATCATTCAAATATGATAGTAAATTTCGCCGCAAAAAAAAATGTTATAATAGCTCGGTCGGTAATCCGGCGGCCCCAAAACAGACCGCCGCGGTTCGTAGCACGATCACTTACACACTTTTATTATTATTTTTTTTTTCTATACCAGATACATTTGTTTATTTTTTATTTCCAAAATACAAGATTTACCAAAAAAACCGAGCAACGCTCGGTCCTCCAGATACTTTAACTAATGAGGGACAAAATTTATAAGAAATTATAGACAATTATACAACTCTTACAGTAGGTAGAGTCGCCATTCGCAACAGCTAAGTGATTCGCTTGTTGATCCGGCATAAGTGAGCTTCCCCGGTAATCGATCATGTGCTCCGGGGGGTCACCATCGCGACCTGCTTAATAAACGAGACCGTCAGAAACCTTAAAGTTTTCTTATCGTTATGACATTGGAAATTAAACAGGTACAGGTTGCGATGAATGAATTGATCGACGAAAAAATTAACAGAATTAGAAGGTCATCGCAATCGAATATAGAAAATTTTCATAAAGCTTAAATAGTTATTACACGACAAAGTTTAGTACTATTTCACGCCACATGCATTTTCTATTATTTGTTCGTCTTTTCCGTAAACTAACTTTTTAGGCTTTAAACTTTTTTGTGCATTTGAAATCCATTTAAAGTTCACTGAGAAAGGTGATTTAGTGGGATCTTCACAGTCACAGACTAAATTACTCTACCTTTAAGCAACGCCTCCGAGCCCAGCCTCCGAATGATCTGCAGCTGCCTTTCGCTAGGCTGGTCCAGTCCCAAGTCGTGGTAGTTCTCCCCCGATTGCAAACCAACCCCGCGCCTCTTAGGTCTGTCATCCTCTTCTAGATGCTGCTGGGATGTCAATGTGCACCTGCAAATATGTATGGGGCACTGGCTGACTTACCGATTTACCAACATACAGAAGGCTTTGGCTTTTTATGGATTAAAATTTGAAACTGACATTAGGTGCTTTTTGTTATGTAGACATCTAATAAAAGTTATATATTTGTTATATTAAAGAGAACGTTACACGTTATGACATAAAATTATTCATCCATACCATTGGGATTAGAAATTTGATACTGACAGTAGGGGCTGGCGGTAGGATGTTATTAAGTAGACATCTACTAAGGGATATATATATATTTGTCACCTATATACTATAGATTCCTACATGTTATTCATTCTATCACTTTACCATGAATGCTGCGAAGTATTCAAAGTTAAAGTCAAAATTAATGGAAACGTATTGAATTTTTTTTAATAAAATGCCTTAACAAATAGAGTTTATTGAGGTATTATTGTATGATGGAAAATTTACACTGAATTATTTAACAATTATTATACACTTTTCATATTCTAAACCCGCAAATATTATACGCCAATATAGCATCATCATTTCTATTTGTAATTAGCGTGGAAGGAGTTGGGTAGTATTTCCAAACGACCACTACGACCTACAAAGAGCTATTGCAGTCTTCCCTTTGAAAAAATTGTCCCCATACTGTAGGATATCATTATCCTTTTCACACCACGTAGTAATTTTGCGTCATCATAGCAAAGCGTTTTGGCATAAGCAATGCACTCACGTCCATCTCGCTAACCCCGTCGCCCCACCGGGACAAGGCTGCACCGCGTATTGGCCGGCCTGGGTCCAGTTCCAATGGAGGCCACGCGCATTCACCTGCGGGCAGAAGGCCGCCCTCCTTCCCAGGCTCGGTGTTGAGCTTGTCGCTGGAATTTGGCACATAATTTTTAGTATGCAGATAAATGAACGGGCCGTCTCGTCTGGAATCACTAGAAATTTCAGATGAAACTCAAAAGTATGTAGACTTCGGCTTAAATCTGGTCTCCTATGAGGCATGGGTCGATAGCATTTGGACATAAAACAACTGGTTCACACCGTATGTACTCTGTCTTCTTCAATTTCTTAGAACTAATGTCACAGTTTTGTAATGTTAAGTGATTACTTCACCGAAAAAGTTCTCCAAGACCTGAAGGGTGGAAGATGCGCTGCGAACCTTAAATATTGAGCTCCGTTTACCTCACTAACCAGACGAAACTTGGTAAGTATAATACTACCACTATACACCAGTTGTCTGGGGCCGTGGTACTTCCCCGAACGAGCTTGCCCATTCATGCAATAGCGTTAACTGTTCCATGGCTTTATCACACTAAAAGCCCATAATAATTCTCATGATCAACTCGACTCTAACAGCGTACAGTAAAAAAGGGAACTCATTCTTATTTAGTCAAACAATAGTACAACATTCCTTCGAGGCGATTTTTAATGTATTGACGTCAACCCTTGGGAAAAAACACCCAGATTCGAAACAGTTATCTGTTGGTCACACAAATACCCACAACCCCCGAAGCCTAAACCAAAAGCTTAGCAGCTGTACTTGTACTTACAATGCTATTATACTTACAATAGATTTTAGTATCATAAGTGTTGTCTCCGTCAATTTCCGGGAAGCGATTCTCCTTTGGCGGCATATGGACTGGTGAGGTGGAGTCAGAATCTTCGTCTTTTGCCGGCCATTGCATTGTTTCTTCCGTAACAGGTGCTGAGTGAAGCATTTTATCAGTATTTAGCAACCCTTGATGAACAAATATGACAAATATTCAAACATACATAAAATTTTTACTACAATTATTAATAATAAAAAAAATAACTATAAGTATTTGAAACTGCATTAAATTTTTTTTTGAAAAAGCAAGCAAAAAATTTAGTAGACGCAAATACTTTACATATTTCATCTCGACACTTCTTAATAAGAAGTGTGTGTACGATGTATTGTTGCTTTTTGAGGACAGTTCTATTCGATTCAATTTATAGAGATAAGATATTTGTATCATAATCAATAAATATGGTATCTGAAACTGGACATACCAATTCCTTCATCTCGGTCTTTAATCGCCTTATCGTTCTTCGGTACATTTTCTGGTTCGGCAGCTTTTGCGGTCTCTTCTCTCACCTCTGGTACATTTTCTCGTGGGACCTGCGGTGGATCCTTCTCTGATGACGAATCTGGTTGACGTGTAGTGGTTTTCTGGGAGCAACATTAAAAAGAAAACAAGTTTTGACATGTCATTTTTAAAAACCTGGTATTTTGTACTTTTTATATTGTAAATTTTAATCACAACTCCATCTCATTAGGGAAATATGATTAAGCACCAGCACAAAGGATTCATTTTAATATGTAAATAAACCAGTTCGAAATTTGTGACGGCCGTTATAGGCATAAGAAATGTTATTTTTTTTTAACTTTAATCGTATCCGTAATAATGTTACAAATAGTTGCAACCATAACTCTTAAATCAGATCCTTATCTAGATTAATCTGAAGGGCAAAATTTATAACCAAACACGATGTTAAAGGCTAATCAAGAAATATGTTTGCATTAATAAGGCATATTTCTGTGGACGCAGCTGGATTTTGTTGGCAAACAGATTTTTGGCGGATTTATGATTGGAGCAATTATATTTCACGTGATTAGTAGGCAAGCGAGAAGCCGTTCTACAAGATGTTAAGTGATTATCCACTATTTTTTTATTTATCGTCCAGGGACAATACCAGTTTTTAAAGGAGTTAGCCCTGGTTACCATACTCACCGGACGATGCGCAAAACTAAACTAGTTGCACTTTAAATCGGTCCTTTGTAAGGACCGTAGTATTTCCGTAGTATTAGAACGAGCCCTAACATTAAAATTGTATACATCAAAAGTTGTATTCGCAATTCATCATCATCATCATCATTTCAGCCTGTTTGAGTCCACTGCTGAACATAGGCCTCCCCCACAGACTGCCACGAAGCACGATCCCGAGCCATCCATCTACTTTTTATTCGCAATTATTTTCAGCTTATTTGACTTATTATTTTTTTACTAAAAACTGATAAAACATTTATGATCTAGTAGATATCTGTCAGGAGAGGCACTTTAATAAGAAGTTATCTATCTGGTGTACCAATGCTTACTCCAGACACGTTTGGAACTTGTTTAGGGAAACGAGTTAGATGAAAAATGTATAGCAATAATTATCTATGTTTATCCAGTCAAGGGAATGAAGGTTGTAAGTTACTCGTTTGTTACTTACGGACGAACATACAAATGAAATTGTTTATTTTTGTGTAGTTACATACCTTTGTTCCAATATCACCTAGCTTCACTTCTGGCGGTAGAGTTATGTGCGGTCGGAATGTTGGAGGTGTGATGACGGTTGGTTTCTTCCTCTCGGTCTGTTGCGTTTGCACTGGGCTTTTTGGTATCGGGGGCAAGGTGGACCGCCACACCGTCGGCTGAGACGTGATCAGCCACGGCGGTGACGGGCGACTGGTCGTGCTTGTTGTCGATGCTGTAAATGAGGATCTTAAGTAAATTCTTGAAACACACCTAAAAAGCATTTATTTATATATTTAAATAGTTTTAAAATTCTTCAATACTTTGCATATTAGAGGCATGCCTGGGGTAGTTAAGTCTTGAACAATCACTGCGAGAATCCCAGTTGCTTTAGTTTTAGTTTTTTGACGTGCAGATGTCTGTCTTACGTTGCACTCTATGACGAAAAACTCACAAAGCTAACTAAGCTGTTGATAAACGTATTATCCCGTTAGCTTCCCCTTCAAAGTTTCGACACTTTGTCAAAATAATGGTATCCATTATTGAAAATATAATCGATTTATATTTATAAGAAAAATAACAAAGATTGAAACTTCCTTACCAGGTACGCATTGGTAGTGCGCCTCTAGATACTTCAAGGTGTTGGGGCATGGGTCGCCGAACATGTTCGTGCTGGCCAGTATGCTGCAGTTTTGGTGCATGCTGCACCTGCAAGACGAACGGGGTTAATTGGGCCGGCCGGGCGTGATGTACTGTACCGTCCGAAGCCACACGGATCTAATGAACGAACCGTTAGTCGGAACTTTAATTGGTTAGCTTTGGAACGAATTATTCGTGCGACTGTGATTTGCAGTGGGACATGTGAATATTTTTGTATGTATGTTTAAGAGAAAGCAGACATTGTGCGTCGTGGTAAGCGATCAATGCCGTCTATGGTTGAGCTACCCTTAAGAGGTTGGTCCTCTCGTTTCACACTCTTTGTTTCGGTCTTTCTGTTTTAACGAAAGCGTTCTATTAAACACTTAAATCACATTAAGCGAGTATGGAACATGTCCATCCTCCTGGACATGTTGTTCCATCCTCGTGAATAACAAGGATGGTAACTATTTAATATATTGATTGATTGATTATTTTAGAATGAGTACTTTCGTAAATAAAAATTCTTAGCATTTAAAAAAATCTGTTATTTCATTTCCCACTCATCTATCGTAAGTTCTGTAAACGATCTTTTCAGTTTTAGGGTTATTCCTAGAGATAATTAGTACAATAAATATGATTAGTAATTTATTAACTACCATTAAATATTTAACGATACCCGCATTTGGTTCGTACTAATGTTTTACACAAATCGTAATATGACACGGACGCTCGTACGCTCAAGCATGTTATAAATTTAAATCGCATCACGGTAAATGTCGACAATCAAGTTTATTTCTATACGGTGATGTAAGTGTGTGCCCCAAGTATTGGGCGACTAGCGTTTGAAAATGATATTTCTGTTAACGGCGATCTTTGTTACATACGCAATCATAGATGATATTTTTATCTTATCAAAGTAATATTGAATTATAATGCAATATTAAATCGATCGATTGGATTTATTGGATTGATATAATTATCAAAGCTGACCCATTAAACGCAAGCAAGTCTTACAATGATACCGTGACTTGTGTCCTTAAGGGTTGATTTATCCGAACTTTACCGTAAACAGAAAAACATGAATAAATCAACCCTTAAGGACACTGCAAGTGCCAATCTAATATCAAAGGCTGTAGCCGTTTTAGGGCTATAAATTCAAAGTTTGTAGTTTGATTTTTTTGTTATATTTACTTATTATCAGATAATAATTATTATTAGATTGCTCGCACGTTGAACTAGCAATTTGATTGGCTCGCCAATAAGAAGTACACGGAAAGATTTACTAAGAGAAAAAATGTTCACTGAGCTGATCATGCGACGATTTTCACTTAGTAATTTTTTCTTTCAGGTAATGTGACAAACGATTAGCAGCCACATAATATAAAAACCAATCGCTTCCGCTCATCCCTTATGCACCGGTCACGCACTTAGGTCGGGCGAGGGTCCCACTTTATTGGCAATCTCGCGGGCCTAACGCGATAAACTTGGGCGTTGCGAATATTTAATTTTCGTCAATTTTCGGCACTCTCCCAAGGCCTGGGATAATGATCGCCGATTATAATCGGAGGACACTCGTACGGCAAGGGATCGTGTTATGGGAAACGTTTGTGTTGTGCACCGTGTATTTTAATTAATGACCGAGCATGAATTACTTTAACGGCGTAAGGTTCTGATATATCGATTCCGGAGGCTGTCTTTTTAATTGCTGTTCGCGTGAGTTATCCTTATTGTTTTGGCTTTCTGCGTGCTTCTTGAAATTTAATTTTAACCATCATATTTAGTGTCATTAATTACATTAATAATTTGCTCTTATTTTAGGATAAAATTGTAATGGAAGGACGTTTTATACGTACAAATTTCACATGGACAGACTATGAAATGGATAAAATATCTGCCGATCACCGTAAGGTTCAAACCTGCACCCCTCGAAAGCCGAGCGATGAAATTACGCTATACGAAAACTGTAATAATATTTGTGTAACATTTCGTTGGATAACATTTTTTATCGACAGTGCATTAGTTTTATTAGATTAACCGTCTCCGTAGGCGAAGTCTGGCTGAGAATCAAGGATCTCCGAGTTTTATTTGTCTTGGAGAGTTTCGAGACGGTGCGGGGAATGCAATTTTTAGGCGTGTGATGAAAAATAGCCAAGAAATGGCCAGGATTCCAGTTCTAGGGTGAAAAAATTAGTTAGCGCCGCTTTCAACTCCTTTAACCTCCTTCATACTTTGCCCTCAATTTAGAAAAACATTATCCTGTGTTGTAAAGACGTTTATCAAACATAAATTGCACCGGTACATACACCCAGATGCGAAATAACTATCTGTGGGCCGCACAAATAGTTGTCCCGTGTAGGAATCGAACCCACGATCCCGACGCCGAAGACAATAATTTGGCAACTGCGCCACGGAGTCATCATCAGCTTAAAATATATATACATATATTTTGTTTGCGCCATATTTGGCGCAAACAAAATACATCAGAACAGAAATCCAGTTAATATATCTTTTGACTCTAAAATATGTTTTTTTTTGTCGTGTAGTAAAATATGATATTAGGTATTTACGTGAGACAGTCAGTCGCGCAATAAACTAGCAAGCTGCAACACGTCTTTTTTATTCAAATAATCCCTTGCACTACATACAGTCCATCCTCAACTCTAATACACCAACAATGTCATTGTTAACTGGCTTTTAGGGGTAAAACATACTCTGTGCTAATAAAGCTATCTTCATCGTGAGTTTCATTTGAATAAGTTCATCTTTCGTAGTGTCAATAAGAGAAAGTACCACACTTACAGCCTTCGTATCAGTTACGTTTGCGCTATTAAAAATACAAAAAACATAACAATCATACGAACGACAAGTAAAGGAAGCGGAGAATATTCTTTTTCATCTAATAATTGAGACGATGAAAATAATAAACGTTTATTGAACACTCTGTCCTCGTTAACGTCGGAGGGTCATTCTTGTACAAATAACGCGGGAAATTATATCCCTGGGCCCTCCATTCCGGCCAGGGCAATTATTGATTTGTCCACTTTACGGGGGGGACAACATGGAACCGTTAACAGAGGTAAGTGTAGATTTTATTAAATGTATTTATTGCATATATAAATAAATTAAAACAAATATTTTTTTATTCTCTACTAGCTGCTGCCCGCGACTACGTCTGCGTAGAATAAGAAGGCTTAACATTCAGACAGAAAGACAGATACGAATAAAAAAAATTAAAATTAATTTCATTCATTTTATTACATACTAATTGAAGTAACATTGGCACCGTGGCTGATTTCTAAGTTAATATTATATTTCTAAGTTAATTATGTTGAAGAAAACAGAAACATTAAGAAGCATTATTGTTCATCCTTCACTTTCTTACATAATTATACTTAGTAGGTTCATATATCGTCACAGTAAACTCGTAATGTACAGTCAATAAGCAGTAAACCCGCGGAGCGATAACTATTTTACTATTTGAGAAATGCTTCCACCACGATGCCCACTAAACCAAACATTCCAATTACAGCTAATAACAATTTTACGGCAACAAATTAAAACCGCACAGCGTCGGAGTTACCTTTAGCTGTGATTATTTTAGTTAATATTGCAATTTAGCAAAGTAGAGATAATCTCCGCAAAGCAGACTCGTGCCATAGCAATTTAGTTACAGTTGTGTGTTGCCATACCACATATTAGTGTTCAAATCCTCGTCCATGTTTAATGAGCTTAAGCTACGTTTAATTTAATGGGTTTCCTTTTTTAATGCATGTGTTCGACCTTCAGTCGCTTCTTTGTTTTTTTTTAAGTAAAAAACAAAGCTTAGACTAAAGTAACAGCCTATATATGTCCCACTGCTGGGCAAAGGCCTCCTCTGTGTAAAGGGTTTTAGGGCATAGTCCAAGACGCGATTGGCGGACTACACATATCTTCGAAATATTTTTTTGTTACTATTTTGAAAATATGCAGGATTCCTCACGACGTTTTCCTTCACCGCTGAGCACGTGATAAGTCAGCAATTTTAACACAATTTCGTTGGTGCCGGTACCGCGGATCGAACTCAGATTGGTAGAGTGTATTGAATTGAAAGCGAGCGCCCGGACAATGAGCTATTACGGCGTTACAATTATTGCAAAACCATAACAGTCTAATTTGCTTCGAGATTTAGTTTCTTAATATTGACATTAAAATCGCTTCTTCGATTTTATGCAGAATAATTTGATTAAAACTTAGTTAATTGGTTTTTAAAAACACTACCCTTTCTTTAGGACAACATTATCCTGTGTTGTAAGGACGTTTTTCATACAAATTCACGCGTACAAACACCCAGATGAGAAGAAATTATCTGTGGGTCACACAACCCGGACCACCAACGTCTAAGCCAATACTTTAGCAACTAAGCGACGGAGTCATCAGTTTTAATAGAATTCTTAGAGACGGGACATTTCCATTCGGTGTATATTTATTCTAAATTAGATTAATTTTATGACTATCACAATGTACACTATAAACGGTCTGGTACTTATAGAAAGTGAACTTTTGATTAATCTCCGTTTCTGCGTTAAAACGTGGGATCCTCTCGTCAACTAACCGACGTCGGGTCTTAATAAGCCGCATGCAAAAGCTGGTTACTAATTAAAACCAAAATCCGATCGGCTTTTGTGTCGTTGACTTAAGACGAAGAGAAAGGTCACTTAGTTAAGGTTGTACGTACACTAGAGCGATACGCCTAACGTGCGTTAAAGGTTTTCTATATTATATTCTGTAAAGATTTTGAATAGATCGGCTCTTTCAAATTCGTCCGAGGAAGTACTCTAACATGGTAGATGTATTCGCACATTTGCATTTTTTCTAGTGAGTGAGGTAATTAGAGCGCAGTTAAATGAAACTATTTAACGGATTTTATCGCGTTGTAATTTTGATTTTAAATTCCCGACGTTTCAAGAATTCGCGGTCACTGGATAGACGGGAATCTAAAATGATAAAATAGTTTGATGTTACCAAGAATATTATTCACGTAAAAACAAAAACGGAAAACGGGGCCCTTAAATTTTGGTTAACAATAACGATGTGATTACTTAACCTGAGGTAAAGCAACCATTCCCTTTCAACGTTATCCATTAAAAAGCATGAAAGAATTACTGAACGCACCGTTTAATTAAAAAAAATGTTGAAAAACTCGCTTATTGAAGAAATGTCTTCTAGTTATGCAAAATAATTATATTGAATTACGTCTGGGAATGATGATTAATATTGAGTATTCTTTGAATTCAAATAGTTTGAAAAGAAATAACGATATTAAGCATAAACTCATAGTCATCGTTCTTATGAACAACTAACCAATAATTAAATATAGGTAATATAGGTACTTGTACCTACATAACGAAAAGATCACTAGTGAGATGCAAGCTTTATTAATTGGCCGGAGCATCTAATACACCTTTAACTTTCTTTGAAGTGAACCCGGGCATAAGCTTAACTAGATTAAATTACGACTCAACAGTTGCATTAATAACTTTATATTATATATAACTTGTGTTCAAATTATATTTCATTTCCAAATGTGTGGTAAATCGATGGATGCAGGTGGCTCAGAATCGTGCTTCGTGGCAGTCTGTGGGGGAGGCCTATGTTCAGCTATGGACTTTAACAGGTTCAAATCATGATAATGATGATGATTATATTTCATTACTTCTTTACAAACGGAACGGCCACGGTCCGGTAGTTTGTGCGTGACAATCGTAAAGCTATGAATGCGAATCTCAATTACATAACACTATGCATAACTAAGCGTAACACACAACCCAATACATAACATCGGATTGTTGATGTTTTGTTTTGCAACTTTCACATAAAATATGTTATATATATTGTTATAAGTTATGACAAACTGTTTTAGCTTCTGAAACCGAAACCGTTTCTATCAAACGAGTAAGTACGGCGAATATTGCCAACTACGTCAAAGCAAAGCTATAACATTGGTACAGCTATGCCTTAAATTGTGTCTTTTCTTTTATTCTGGACTTAAAGGCAGACATCAGACAGTTTTCACATCTGTATTGCATGAGTAAGACGCCGTACTCACAATCTGTCACGCTTTACGGCCAACATTTATAACTGGTTCCCAGGTAAAGCGCGTGATAAACCAACCTGCTATGCAAGACTCGCAGGCTCCTAGTCGACATGCAGTTCACGCTCCAGTCGGTATTGCCGTGGTCGTTGCAGATGGTTATGGAGAACCGGCCGTAGTTCGCCCTGATGAGGTGGATGACCGAGCCCTCCGCGCAGCCGATCTTCAGCGTCTTCCCCTCGCACGCGTACGCCGTCTCGTATCTTGGTTCTGGAGCGAAATGGAAACGTTAGTGTTTAGTTAACGTGTGTAGTTAACGATGAGTGTGCTGATACGGTCTATCACAAGTGATATAGTTAAAGGTGAAAATGTTATCCAGAATGTTGACTAGTTATAGTGGCAATCTCTTGCAACGTGCAAAAGTGGCTCAGTTAAAAGTGCACCAATATTTTTATGCTATAAATATTGCGGTGTACACATCAATAAATGCTCGGCTTACATATTAAGGACGCTTAAGGACCTTTTAATATAAAAATATAAGAACATCACTTTTATTAAAATATGTAGAAAAAGTACGAAAAGATTATCGCCGTTGTGGGAATCGAAACCACGTCTTCGGCATTCGCGGCCTGACGCTCTAGCCACTGAGCTAAACGGCTGATTGCCACACCGACGAAAATCTTAAAGTCTTCAACAATTTCGAATATCGTTTTACAACGATAATTCGAACGAGAGATGTCGCCACGGCTTTTTAGAAATTTAAATTGTTTACAGTGCTAATCTTTGCACTTAAGATTGAACATTGTTGATTGTTTGTATGCTGGAAAGGATATAACAATGGATGCGCCAAGCATAGCTTCAAATGTTAAGAAACAATGTAAAAAAGCACGTTAAGATTTTCGTCGGTGTGGCAATCAGCCGTTTAGCTCAGTGGCTAGAGCATCAGGCCGCGAATGCCGAAGACGTGGGTTCGATTCCCACAACGGCGACAATATTTTCCTACTTTTTCTACATATTTTAATGTTCAATCTTAAGTGCAAAGATTAGCACTGTAAAAAATTAAAATTTTTATATCACTTTTATTATCACAATTTTTCACAAAAATAACCAACAGAACCTTAAGGATAGACATTTGATGACATATGAATTCAATGTTATAGACACAATATATTTATTGCTTTATTAAGATACAAATAATAAACTCAGGTAAAATAATAGGCCTGTTGTAATTGATTGACGATAACAAAAGATTATTTTGCACGGACACAATAATAAGATATTTTTCAAACGTAATGCAATCAAAAAATAACACATTTGATTTGTTAATAAATCCTATAATAGATTATAAACGTGAGCTTTTAATTGTTCTTTAAAAAAATCTCGTTTAATGTTGTATTTGAATTATAGTCCAACAATAATCTTGCCGTTGTAACACAAGAGAGAGACGATAAAATATATCACTATTGTAAAATCATTCATAGGATCCGTTGAAAACTCAGAAGCATCACTAAAACCATACTCCGTGTCGATTCACGTCCGCTATGTAGGAAAACAACCGATCGAGTGCGCCACTCGCCAATAAATCCAATCAAACCCGGCCGATATTGTTCGGGCGATCGTTACGTTCAGAAACCATTTATCCGTCCAAAGCAAACATCGCACGAAGACAAAACGAAAAAACTGTCGACTCAACGTTTCATAATCAATTTCTGAACGTTTCGGCCGTCCGTCGCTTCGGCCGGCCAAATGGCGCAACGTTTTTCGACTTTCCGATACATCGGTACGTGTGCGAAGAACGTTCTAGAATGAGTTGCAATCGAAGATTTATTGTGCTGTTGCGGTTAAAGGGGTGTTTGGTAGGTGTGCATATTCTGAGGCTAGAGCATAATAAATCTGGGCAAATTAATGGCGGCGCGGACAGATCGTTTAGCTCCTTTTCGCAACGTCATAGCGTAAAATGAGGGGCCTTGCACAATAAATAATTTACCGAAGTAAATCCCAGCTCACGTTAGCGGAGAGGAGCGAATGGAGTGTTATGTTTTCGGGTGCAAAAATAATAATCTGTCCACTCGGGTACAAAATTTATGTATAAAAATATTTACTATTTATCCCCCGTGAAATGCTGAAGCATTTTTGCGAAGGACAAAAATGAAAACGGCCGGTGAACGAAATAGAATTCCTTAAGGTAAAGTTTATATAAGATTATATAGCGTAGAGCAACCGTTTTTTGTACCGTTAACGCGACGTTCGTACGGAAACGTAGCTATTAATCAAAAATTCGAGAGCGATTTAACGTTGCTACAGATTAACGATAAGCCTCCCGCCCTCGCAATAAATTATTCTGGCCTTTAAACATTGGTTTAACACGCGCTCTACGAAACTTCGTCATACAATATGCCTGTTGGCCGACACTTTATTCTTATTTTATTTTTTTTCCTACTGCAATAAAAGTCATACGTCGTATAAATCTGGCCAGTTATAAAAAGTGTTAAAGGCAAATTAAACAATAAATCTTTCAAAAATTATTTTATAACCTATTCAAGAATAGCATTCAAATTCTGAAAATGAAACCTGTACACGATTTACAATAATTACACACAACACAGATTATATTTTACGTTCAATGGTAAAATAAAAATAAGTTAGGATCTCGATGTGTGAAAATATTTTTGCTAACAATTTGGGTGCATAACAAAGTTTATTCTTATATGACAGTGTTGTCTTCAGGTATCATTCTAGAAATAGAACCTAAATATTTACATGCCACCATATTTAATTAAACAGTAATATAGTGCTCTTCTTAAAAGAAAATAATATTATTCACTTGAAACTATTACTAACGGAAAGCGTTTAAGAGCAATTTTCGCATTAATTATTAAATACTGTTCTAAGAATACTCTGAGCAACCTAAACTTTGTACTCTATAATTAAGGGAATGACTACAAACGGTACAACAGAACACAGATCGATTCAATTTTAATTACAAATTTGTTTATGACGGCCGAAGCAATTAGCATTAATTATTGAGTTACGAGGCCAAGCTCGCATGTTAAATGTGGCTACGAAAAAAGATCATTAGGGAAACTCCTTGGTGTAAAACGCCAAGGCGTGATCGAATTAGTTCGAAATGGTGGCTATCGATGGTTTTACATTGCAACGCTGCGCGCACGCGAAACTGCACTTTGTGTCGATATTCGAGATAGCGTCGATACGCGAAAAACTATTTTTTTTAAATCTAGCGAATACAACACCTCGGCGCAGGGAGTTAGTGGCCAGTCACCCCCATTATGGCGGGCTTCGAGGGTGGATGGTAATAAAAATGATTTATAGAAGATGTCCAGTGGTACTTGTTATGAAGGGTCGAAAACAATTTACGAGGTACTACCCAGAAGGGATAGGGTAATTATTTCTTTACTATGGCCGCTCTATCATAATCAAATTTTGTCACATTTAAATAGAGTAAGCGTATAAACTTTAAATTACAGTGAAACGTTTAAAAATTTTAGAAGGATATTTGAATATAGAACGTATGACTTTCGTTTTGTTCATACATGTTAGTGAAGATTTTTTCGAGAGATGCTGCATTCTGATCGCTGTATACAAATGGTGATAAACGCTTTAAGCTCTATCTTGAAATCTATGTCTTTAAAATGGTATTAAGCTAAATCGATTTAAATAAGTGTTTCACTCGTGAAATAAAGATGAATCTGTTAGTATATACTTCACCAATATCGGATCTTTTTGGTATTTACGAGGTATCATAGAGGCGGACCAACATTATATACACACGGATTAGATAAATAAACCCCTTATTTCGCTTCGTCAAAGTCAGATATAAAATTTAAATTATTAAATGTAATTACAAACGCTGTTTGATTCTAAAACTGATTACTATGTTAACGAAGCGTACATCTAAAACGCAAAATGAAATTGCATAGGCAAAGCTTTCTAAACATAATACTCAGAGAAGTTTTTAATTTGTCAACTTGTAGCCGACATAATTACGCGCGCCTTAGTTATCAGGTAGGCAGGGGGAACCTACGCCGAGTGACTTAAAAAGGCTGTTAAACACGCGCAAAACAGTCTGCATTTTCTAAAAAAAACGTGTAATACACACAGACTCCCATTGTGGCGCTTAAAAATGGAGGGTCCGCAAAACAATGTCACTTACGACCGCCCGCACGTTACGAAACTGTAATTATCACGGCGAAACACTAAACAATTCCTTTTCAAACGCTTTCACAATCCCGCGTCGCTGAAAATTAAATTACAAACTTAATATTGCGTCGATGATGCACTCTTTACAATCGCGATAGAGTTCAAATTCGCTCGCTGCGCCATGATTGTAGAATTGGCATGATCGCGGAACCTCGTTAGTATATGCGACTGTCATTTGATATCCCACCGCCGAATGGTACCACCGACGGCCCAATCAAAGCTGAAATATGTCGTACCGCTACGGAATAGGGCTGAAGATCGATCGATGGGGCCAATCATGTCACAGATGTAATGGTGAATTTAATTCTGTGTACCATTAATCGGCGTCGGGCATGGTGGTGCTATAGCGGGGATTAGAGCGAATTTTATTGTGAGAATTTATGGTGTCATTTATAGTGACGTCATTATGCGGTGCGGCTGCCGGTTCGATGTATTAGTGGATTAGTGGCGTTCGAAATTCGAAAGTGTACCGATTAACTTGTTCAGGGCAAAATGAAGGTGCTATTGTCTGGCTCAAGGTTGCACCGTGTCGTTTCCTTACAGTTTACGAGGGCTGTCACATTTTTTGTATTAGGCGTTTATCTATAAACACAAGTGTAAGAGGAACGCAATTTCAGTCTTTATCAGTGCTAGGGTCAGCTCCGGTATCAGCTAGGAATTAATCAATTAGTAAGCAAGGCATGGCGTCCTTTAAAACGCTCTGTTCACGGAATAACAGCAAAAAGCGATAAGTGTCTCAAGGTTCATTTTGGAGCCTGTAGTCACATCTTAGTTAATACTACGTAGTGTAATATAAATAGTGGTTGCCCAGTGGTCGAAATTCACCATAATTAATTATACATGACAGTAGATATGTGTAAAGATTTTTTTATTGATTTAATGTATTTTTTATGCATAAATTTTAAAAAATATTAGCATTCTGCACTTCTTCCCTAAACAAACTATAAGTGTGGGAAATTCTCCTCCACCCGCGCAATTTTCGTAAAAAGGGTTTATACCGCTTTTGCTTCACGTCTAAAAACATACGTGGTAAGTATCCACGTACAATGGGGGTCTTAACCTATATGTTCAGACTTATATAAAACTGTAAGTTTTGTGTAGGTCTGAGCAGAAAGGTTAAAATACGCATTCATATGTGCACCTGTTAAATTGCTCTTAACCGTATAAGGCAGTAGATCGCGTGTCGCGAGCATCAGATAAATTGGAGCAGAAAAATCAATTACGATCGCAGCCAGAAGACATAGTACGGGAGTATAATTGCATAATACATCGCCGGAAAACACCGAGCCGTCGTCTCGAATAGTTTGTATTATCTATGTAATACATTTGGAAATCATAAAAAAATCTTTTGAATTTTTACATAGTGTCTCTCAACTATGAATCAAACTAGAGACATCTCAAAAGCTTAGCTAAATAAAACAATTGCGTCTCTACAATCGTGCCGTAATATACAATGTACGACTGTAATACCCATAACACCATCAAATCTCCTTCAATTTCGGAACGTTGCAAACTTATAGGAAGCTATAAATTATAACTTTGCGACTAAAAGCTAGGGTTGGCGATGTACGAAACTTGAAAACCGCAATGTTAAGTCGTCCGTTCAAGATGACATAAAGAGCCGTGATATTTATGAAATATATTCATAGAAGAAAGATATTGTAATTAACATTACATTACTCTTTTGCGATCAATATGACGACAAACTTGTACGAAATAAATTTCTGTTTTTAAATTTAATGTGCACATTGCCTGGATATTGGAATGGATTGAGGTTGAAATTTATTTACAATGGTCCGCATCAAAAGTTCGCTTTTATAAGTAATGATAAGAGTTAAAATTTGTAGAAAAAGTACGAAAAAATTGTCGCCGTTGTGGGAATCTAACCCGGCATTCGCGGCCTGACGCTTTAGCCACTAAGCTAAACGGCTGATTGCCACACCGACGAAAATCTTAACGTCTTTTTAAGACGTGGGTTCGATTCCCACGGCGGCGACAATCTTTTCGTAAAATTTAACATCTTTTATCCACATTGTTTTTTAGCATTTAAAGTAATGCTTGGCGCATCCATTGTTATATCCTTTCCAGCATACAAACAATTTCGAATATCGTTTTACAACGATAATTGAAACGAGAGATGTCGCCATTGCTTTTAAAAATTTAATTTTTTATGGTGCTAATCTCAGCACTTAAGATTAAACATAAAAATTTGTAGAAATTAAATTACTAATGATAAGTCACACTGCAGCTTTTGCCGCGGCTCGCATGAGCTGGATCTTCTGGGTACTTCGCTCCTAAGGCTGATAGAAGTTGGCGAAAGTAGATGTATCGACGATGTATAGGCGAATAAGGTAACTAGGCCAGCGTTCTTGGAGGTTAGCAAAGCCACTGCGGGTGTGGTGGTAGGCTCATATAACATCAGGTGAACCGTAGCTAATTTGCCACCTCCTTGAACAATAAACGGTTCAAAAATTTCTAGAAAAAATTAGCTTTAAGTGCAGAGAGTAGCACTATAAAATTCAATATCCTCTGATACAAACTCGTCTCCGGTATATTCAAGGCTGGTTTAACCGAATGAAATACCTGGTTCCGCCAGCCCTGTTCTGAGGCGGGAGGTGAAGTGACAAATTGAAAAGGCGTTTTTATAGTGCATTTTACGAGGTGCCCCGGGTACGTGTCGCTTGACGCCCGGCGCGGTTTCCCCGGGCCATCGACAGGCGGCGCTACTGTAATGCACTGGCTTCCTATCCCGGTGAATCCCCCACGAGTATAGGAAACCCGTGAACGCGAGAGCTGGGAGATTAAGAATGAACGCACGTAACGTGATATATGTACGTAGGAAAATGTCATTTGTTATGCTGTATTTCGAATCAAAGTAGTAGTGCTTTCAAGATGAGGCTATGGGTTCGAGTCGTAGAAGTATGGTAGAAGGCAGCTATAAGTTTGACCATAAATGACTTAAGTTAAGACGGTAAGATATAAGGTAGACTACGGCCATAGACTCGTATCGGTCACGTTTGGGATTTAATTAGTTCATTTTAATAGGAATGTCTATATCGGTGTACTACCACATTAAGAAAAAGTTAATAATTTCAACAATATTTTGAGATCTCTAAAACTTGAAAAGTGTAGAATTAGCAAGGATTAGGGTACATCTACAACAAACAATTTCTATGGACACCTTTGTAACGATGAATAGTCATTGAATAATAATCATAGGGTAATCATAAATCGGTATTCGTCTCTGTATTCAAAATTCAAATACCAAAACATATGTGTGTCGCAAGAAACCACAACGGTCCCTAATTAATCAGAAGCTTCCGTGGCACAATTTCAAAAATAGAACTCGAATAGAACCGTTTGAATATTACATCGGCGAGTGCATTCGATAAGGCACGGAATAAAATATCGTTCCGATATTACGTTAAGGAGTCGGTGGCGCCGTGTCGGGGAGCTGCATTCGAAATTTAAAAGAACCGAGGGAACGCTAAATTCGGTACGGACCGGGAACGTCGGGTTGGCTTGACGTTTCGCCGCGATCGATTGTAAATCGAACGGGACGTTTTACTACTTATTTCACGGGTTGTTTTGGTGTTGCGAGCCATGAGCTTGGAGCGGGAAACATCGTAAATGTGTTCAGTAAATGTCATAAGTTAGCGATTTATTTTATTATTGGTGTCTCTGTAGAAGAGAAAACACTTCGAAAATTAACGTAAAGCGAAGGATACCAATTTGCCGGTAACTATCTCGGATGCAAATGCTAATACGCTCAACTTCTGGACAAGAGATTTTATTGTGATAGTGCGTTTATCATCAATTACACACACGTATCAGGAAACGTTCTAAAAACTAAACATACTGGATGTTGGCCATATAAAAATATACACTCGACTAGATTAGATTAGACATAGAGATCGAATAAAAATCCTTGATTGGACGATAATCGTCAAATAGTCGTACAATTCAAAGTACATTTTTATATAAAAAAGTGTCAAGGCGTTTGTCATTATCATTCAATTTGCATATAACAATGGTCGTTCATAAAGCAGTACGGCCCGCTTTCCGCTGCCGCCTCGCCTCGTCACTTCGACCATCGCAATCTCTCGAACTGTCGGCAGGGAAATACCGAACTAAGTTGCAAAGCACTGATAAAATAAGCCCATTGGGGTTTGTAAGGATAGGTACGAACTAACTGCGCGTTTAGGGGCCGCCGGACGGGGTAACTATGATTGTGACCGTTTCGGATGCAGTTAAAGTAACAGAACTAAGTTCTGCAGCGAAGTCGAGCAACTTAACTGATAGTAACGATGGTTTTAGTTTTGCCGAATTGTGAAATTTATACTGACAATTTTGTTCGAAAAAACTACAATATCTGCTTCTTTTGTTACTTCAGTTATATATAACAAATGCATCGGTGTATTGAAATCGAGAATCTCCGTGAAAGTATCAAAACATGATATAATAGACCACTGGCTTGTACGTAAACGTACTGTTAAAGCGAACCGAAGTGCGAACTCTAACTTCTATTAGTTGCTTTACGAAGCTCATGACACCGTCTGCTATGTATGAATCGTGTCGCAAACATCCTGAGGTAAAAAATTAGGAAGAAAGAAGATGTTTTTAACCCCTGACCATCTTCAAAAACAAATATTCGAGAAATTTGTGTTTTTTTAGAAACATACCGTAACGTATACATTAGTATACCTGGCCATCTCCCCCGCGAAACGTCAGCAGGTCCTCAATCCAATCTCTGTATCTTCATACTTTAACGTCCCACTCTGCGAAACGGGATTATTTCGCTTGGACAACTGAATCTAATTGAGACATCGCATGTGATGTCGCAGTCTGGTAGCTGCGCGCGACTATGGCCGCTAACGCGTGCCCGTAGGGGATGAAATCGCGAATGACGATTTTGATTGAGGCAACATCTCATGTATCGCCGACAATGAGGGGTCGGACGGGACGGAAGAGGGCCCTTAGGGGTTTTTTAACAGTTTTTGAACGCGTATATGCCCACCCCGGTCACGTGTCGTAAGAAGTAGCTTCCTGGATAAGCGGTTTCGTTTTTCATCGAGGGGCCCTTCAAGATTTTTTTCTTGACACGACGAGAATTTTATTACGGTGTTCGCGATTTAGGCACGCAATATTTTTGGATTGTGCTCTCGAAAGTAATTCAACGCGCACCGTTTGTCAGTTTGTTTTATCGCGCAAATAATGAGCGTTTATACTTACATAAGAAAAATAGAAACTTATTAAAACACAACTTCCAGTAGTTTTCAGACTGTGATTCGTTGAAAGGTGTGTATATTATATAATATTTTGATATAACTAAATAAGTTTTTATTACTTACGCTAAAATATTTACTACATTAAGTAAGTGATAAAAATTATTCGGGAAAAATCGTGGTTTCGAAGAAAATCTTCTCAGGCGTCTCAGGCGGCGATTTTATATAATTGGACGAGAATTCAGCATTGTATATTTCTTCGTTTCGTCTGTTGAGTAAAGTAATCCGGGGCCTACTTCATTAAAAGGTGGCAAAGCATCTGCAACTCTACGGGTGTTGCAACTGTCAGTGGGCAGCAGTTTTACATAAAAAAAAAACGATATAACCACGGTAACTATGAAAGCTACTAGCAATTGTAATTTTCTTTATTTATAGCATCGAAACGATGCGTATCCCGTTGGTGTGAAGGTAGCATAATATTTGAGAAACCTTTAATGAGCACATATGATATTCAAAAAGTGATTCTGAATATTTGATTGGGGCGTCCATTCTATGCGAAGGCGCTTTCAAAGAGGGCGGAATGCATCCCGGGAGCCCTCTCCGTACCAGCGCTCTCACTGCACATGATTCACTAAGACCCCGGTAAAGGCGCGAGGAAAGGAAACCTCAGGGGAGACGGTTGTGGGGCGGTTGTCAAATGGGATTTCACCCCCAATCTTCGGCCGGGGTAAGCGATGGGGCTAAGGTTCGGCTCGTGCGTTTCGTAAGTAAATTTCGACCGCAGGTTGCATCGAAAAGCGTCAATTAGCACTCGTTCCACACTCTCGTGACTAAACTGCGCAAGTGAGGTGATCTAATGCGGGTTAAGTTATAATTGTTGTCTCTGAGTAAAATCGTTTGATTGCACAACGGTTTAGTTACTTTTGTTGTTTTTGACAGCTTTTGATATGACGGTTCCTCTTAAGGTATCTCAACTAGAGAAGGTTAACCAGCTTGTTGAAGTCTTCCTTCTTTTTAGTGTCACGGAACAGCTCAGCTACACTAACTGTCCTTATCTATTCTCGGATGTGACATAACCAAGACTTCTTGCTTCGTCCAACTTTTTTGCCAGCGTGTTTGTCCATCATGATGAGTTGTCACATTTTTTAACAATTATTAACATAGAACAAATGCTTCAAATGAACACGCTTCAATATGCAAGTGGGATCGAGATAACTTTCAGGAGTAAAAACTCTACGCTTTATAAACAATGAGCTGGAAACACAAAAACAAGTTTCCAACACATTGTTTATAGATATATAGATAGAATAAAAACCATTGATTTGTATTTTTATAATAGTACATTCGGGCTGTAAAAAACCGATAGAATTTACCCAGATATAGGGCGGTTTGTCTCTTAACTAAGGATATTACAATCGAATTCTATATTATAAGAATTTTCTAATTATAAGAACTTGTGAAATCTTAAAATATCGTTATCAGCAGTAATAACGATGTTGTCAGATTTTACAAAAAGTAAAATTTCACCAACAGTAATTTTCATTTTCTTCTAATTTTTAAACTTTTCGTATTCTAATTCGATTATTAGTTATTTCTACTTAGATGAACCTTTTCATTGATATGACTTGGCAAACAATAATATTCATCCAATGAGATACTTGCATTTTACGGTCATAGTTAATGGTCATGGCTTGAACTATTCAAAAAGGAGGTTGGATATGCGACCGGCACTTTTTTAGGCGGCAAAGGTTCTTGCCCGGGAGCCCCGAGTGCGGTCATAAATAAGGCCAGGTCCCGCTGGCTGTTTTGCGATATACATTGTTGCTCGCCATATTTCAGCGCGCGGGTTCCTTTTAGCTTTGGGGCGGGAGTTCTGACCTTTCGGCGCGCTGTCGGGGACCTTTTGTGCGCGGAAATAGTGTTTTTAATGTTACTCTTGCACAGTTTTCCAAAGGATTCCAGATCTTGCGCCGCCGCGACAGAGTCCAGTTTTGTCTGACGACGCGCTTCTGGCATCTCACATTGGGAGAATAGCGAAAATTGTCGCACGTCGTCATCCGTATGTTGTTGTAGTGGATAAGTTCTCGTTCAATTTCAAAAATCGACTAAATGGTAATAAATGTGTGGCTCGGTAACCGCTTTTAACTGTACAAAGATTTCAAGCGTGGCAATATAGCTTTCATGGCTTGGTTTTTTAACGTCATTTTCCTTTGTGAATAAATCGTCACCTACCCTTTTTTGCTTATTTTTTATTTCGAAAATAACACTGAGTTTAATCTTTATTTGCCAGTTGCTATCAACAATCAATTCGGGTTTGCTAAAATCTCGCAGTAAGGTAAACTATTTGCATTTTATATAATTTCATTAATTATAATAATAACGGTACATAAAATGAGTTTTTAATTGGAGTGGAACAATCGAAACACATTTTTTTTTATAATAAAATCAAAACTTAGACTCTACCCTTGTTTAGAAGCAGTCTAGTATAAAAATTTATACAAAGACATCTAATCAACCCAGCTATAGGAGCATTAGCATACGATTTCTAGAGTCAGCTGAGAATCAAATCTAACGCGCCAAATATTTTGCGTAGAAACGCAATTTGAATCATCTGAAATATTTCGCAAGATCTGAATTAAAGAGTTATTCATACCTCTTACACTTGCTTAGGACACTACTTCCGTAGGTTTTTAGAAAGGCTAAGCAGTAATAATCTTACTAATCTGAATCATTAAATACTCGATCAACAGACTGAAACTGTTTTTGTTCAGTGAAAGACAGGACAGAAAGCCACTGACCAAAATAAATGAGTCCTGAGAATCAAACCGACCTCCGTAGTAGTTCCTAGTAAAACAATCACGATAATAAACGTTGCGAATTGGAAACCGGAATAATAAATCACCAAACAACAAAGGGAAATAAGCCTTTTATTTGTATAACTGCGAAATTAATCAACGCTGACAAGGGATGAAATGAAAATGGAATCCCACTAGATAACTTCGTTCATACAATTAAGTGCTGCGTCCGAACATTCGAGAAAAAGTAAATACGATGCTACAGTTAGTTTTGTATTCGTTTAAAACAAACCCTTTATTCCAGCCCCAAATTAATCTACACACGACAAGAATATATATAATCAGGAAAAGTAATATAATCTTGTTATACGACCGGTGGTAGTTCCGATTTGGGTTTCTACTAATAAAACATATTCAGCTTTTCCCTAAGCCAAAACAAGGCAAATGCATCAACAATACATCCAAGACCAGAATAGACGTTCCAAAATATATTTTCCAAACTTCCGAACACAAACCGATGGCTGCCAGTGCTATTCAGTAAAAGTCGTTCGAAAGGTAACGTAACCTTTCGAAAAAGGAATAAAGGGCGCACTAGAGACTAAAGAAAACATTGAGGTTAGCAAATCAGTTCTTTCGCAGGGTAATACGCCCGAGTGTAACAAAATAAGAACAGTGCTGGCATTTAAGAAGCCAAATAAGGGTTTACCGGCCGCGGGTGAGTGTCCGAGATCGGGTTGCCTGTTGCGAACGTTTTTGCGTTCCTTTATACGCCATGTTTAAAAAAAAACGCGTTCGCGCCACGAGATTGCACCGCGCTACGCTTTTTTGCTTAAGTAATGTCTCGTATTACAATATTGTGCGATAACGACAGCGATTCTTTGATTTTTTCACCGCAAATAGTTAGCGATACCTATGAGCGTCTTCTCAGTCGAACGCTAATCTGTTCTTTTTTTCATAGAAAGGATTTCTAAAAATATTTTTAAGAAATCAATTCCTTGTTCGTGTTTACCGTTATTCAAATTTACTCATTGGAATATTTCAAGTTATTGGTTTTATTAACGTGTGGTGACGTAATTTACAGTTGTTTGAATATAATTTATACGTCAATTTCCGTTCCCCCAAGGGGCTGCTTTATATGCTCGACAAATAATCAACAAATTATATAAAACAGTGTCACAACAAACACGGTATACTGCATACGTAAAATTGTATATTGATTTAATTCCTTTGTCGAGCAATAAAACATTTCATGATATCTATGTTAAAAGTAATAATAAGAAATCATATTATAAGATATCAATCATTGCCCGAGGAATAACTAAGAATAACAAAATATTCCACTGAAAATATGAAATTTCATTTCAACAATATAATTGTATGGTTCCTTATTACACCCATACCTACACTAAAATTTAGTAAACATTAGATAGTCACCGAAACTTGAAAACATAATCCAAATATGTTTAAAAAATTAATGTTGTTTAAAAATTAAAATTTGTTGAAATTAGCACTATAAAAATTTTAAATTGTTGTTGTTTAAAAATGTTTGTCAACATTATTTCGCGTAAACAAATCTAGTAACCAAGCATCGGCTTACATCATTACGCGCGGGAAAATTTTAAAACCGGAACCCATAGTGCAGGCCTCGGGTACGAGGGCGAACCCAAACCGTCCCGGCTCCGACTTATAGGTATGTGTTCTTGTGTTATTGTGTGATAATGTAAATTCGGTACGGCGACCGAGGCATATGGTGTCGTATGACGTGCGGTGGTAACACAATAGCCGGCCGGAATTATGCGGTCGAATGTACAGCGCGGGGGTTTCGCTTTGTCTCGTTATGCCCGAGCTTAACGGGTCGGCTCGGCGACGATAACGGGCGGCTATCGCTGCATCGATCCGTTGTTGGGCACTCGTTGCGATTATTTCTATGGCCTGACGTTGATTGTGATGCGATCGGTCGATCGATCGGTGATCGAATTGGATCGTTTGCAATTAGTTGATGCAGTGCTGCGAGATGTAAAAGAAGCTGTAGAACGAATGTTCTAATATCTAACAGCAAAAGTACTTCCACTTCACGTCAGTATTCTGTGAGGCCGTGGTACGTACCCGGATGAGCCTGCCCATTTATGCAACAGCAGAAGCTACTGTGCGGCCATACCAACCACCAAACTAAGACACACTGGAATAGTGGTGAGAAAGTCAAAAGGCTCATTGTGAACTAGCGAGTACTCTATTTATAACATTTAAAAATACATAGTAAATTTTACAAAAAGCTTAAACTTAGACTAATTTTATATAATATATAAAAAAAGTTGCGTTTCGAAAGTGTTCGAAAGTAAATCCCGTGCTTATATTATAGCTTTGTTAATGTCACAAGAACAAATAAAAATATTTATAATGTTTTCAAACCGGCCCGACTAATTATTAGCTTTTGTGTTTGTAACTGGTAAACCTAAAACAATATACATGACGGATCGAATGGATTCATGGAAACCAGTATCGATAGACTTGCTTAAAACATGTACTGAACGTAATCTATTCTCGACGCGTGTATTTAAAATCGATAACTTCAAAAGCACCCACACAAAAATTCGTCCAGTGTTTACATACATTCACGAACACACTTTCTGTATACGCTTTCGTATGTGTTAATGGTTAGCTCAAAATTCGTTCCTAGCGTCCATCTGACTAAAGTTATTGGACGTATTAGCCGCCCAAAACTAAACCCTGGCATTTCTGCTCTCATTACGATTTCCCGGGGATTTTCCGACCCCGCCTAAGGACGCCTGCTCGGTCATTACACTTTATTGTTTCCCCGAAGGAGAAAAAAAAAAGGTTTGCATCTCCGACGCGATAGCCCTCGTAAAATTTCCCCATTAAACCATCAGCAGATAAGCACCCAGAAACGTTTCCGTCACGAATTCCAACCCTATTTTTTTATCTAATATTTCTTTTGCCGTTGATCAAGTAAATTAGGCAAATTTTATGATGGAGTGGCAATGTGTAAGTGCAGGAACGTGATTATACTGTATTATAATTGTGAAATATGTGATAGTCAAATGCTTTAAACATATTTCTGATGACTTTTTTCTGAGATCATTATTACAAAAGGAAAATTTAATATAACATTCGTTTAAAATTTATCATAGTTTAGAGGTAGATACTAACGTGTTTCTTTCAACCTTTATAAGAATAAAAATATTATGAAAAACATAAAAACTTGACAACTGTTGTTCAATGGTGACAATAAGCCGAATCAAAAACGTGAAACAACTTTTGAATTGTGTTAAGAAACACAAGCCTTCAAGTTGCCTGAAGCTGAAATGTATGTTACATAAAGCCTCGCGATTATCTTTGTCAGTGTGAACAAGAGATTCGCTTTATATTTAAATTGGTCGGATAGAGGTGTTGTGGCGTCGGTTAAAGAAACACGAATTCATTTGACATTAATTTCAACATTACCAGGAGCAATTTCGCCCCGACAATGATACCAGTGTTTTTTCGACGCAATAAGAAATTATTTATCCAATCCAGAGGCGTTTTTGACGTCTAAAAAGGTCGATCACTAAATTGCCGGCCTAAATACAGGACAGTTGTGCTGGACAGAAAAATCTGCACATTAAAACTGACAATAGAGCTATAACCCTATTATGGAACTTTTAACTTTATTGTCACATTTTAGAATCCCAATAATTGTTCGAGTGTCGCAGCCCTAATAACTAGAAAAAATAATACTTACCACTAATAGTATGTTTAGTTTTAGTATGAAGCGATCTTTCGACTGGCAAATTTGTAAAATAGATGGCAATCGAAATAGACGGCAACCACAGGACAGGCTTTGCGTAGTGTGGTGCCAACGCACAATGTACTTAAGTGGAATTCTGTTTGTCAATAAACATATTTACATTTTTCATTTTTTTTTCATAGGAGAAAAAAATACTTGAAAATGTCAGTTACAAAACATCACGTGGTAAACAGAGATCTCTTCTCGTTTAGTGCATACCGTTATTTCCTTTAATGCTACAACCAGCCAGTGCCCAGTAAAAAGTTACATCACGAGGCCAAGAACCGCCAAGCCGTGACTCATAAATAAGAAACAAAATTAGTCACCGTGCTTGACAGTAGAAGAGAGAAGAGATACTGTGGTAGGGCCACGCAGCAGTCTTCGCTGTTGGACGAGTGGGCGGGTCCGTCCAGAGAAGTACCACGACCTCTCTGAAG